TCTGAATTGTCGCTTCAATAGCTTCGTCATTCAATCTTCTAAGACCTCCACCAAGACCCCAACAAGTGAAATGGAAACTATTTCGAAACTTCACGTCGATTTGTCTGAGACAGAGCACCGTTTCCGCCGAGCATGTGAGCAGGTTGTTTTACTAAACAACAAACTCAAAGATCTTCAAGTCCGCTACGACCGAGCAAGGAGGGACCAGATGCGTTCATTTCGCTACAACATTCGTCTCAGGATGTCCGGCATGGAAGGTGTTAGAAACGCTTACTACGAGTATGCACGTCAAAAGGCCGATAAAGTCTTATACCTACGCCACAAGATTAGAAGCTGTGTCGCAACTGATAGTGAAGATAGCAGCCATTCGTCGGAAGGCGAGATGGAGTGAATTTGAAAACACGTAGAATCTTCTTTGCTTATACAAAAGGTTCTTTTCAGAGCCACCAAAATCTACGAAAGATTACCTTCATATTCTATGCATTATCACCCCACCCCACCCCCATCCACTCCCCCATATATTCCAAATCCTTTCCCTGTCCACAATGAAACGCCATACACCCACTAAAGGCACACAGCTGCAATATTCCTTTAAAAAAAAAACAAAAAAAACCCCAAACAAATCGCATGAGGATAGAAGAAGAGCGAAATTGGTCAAATAGTCAAATAAATCAACACCAAACATACGCCCAACCCTTCTCAATGCCACTTTATCCAATTGAAGCAAGGCTTAGACCTTATGCATTAGTCCTTACTGGTTTCTGTGGAGCATCGGGTTATCGCTCACCGACATTTTTATCAAAGAAGCTGCACATATTCAACCATGCTTAAGGTGAACAAAAATTAGTACCAAATACCCCCCCCCCCCGCCCCTCCCACACACACACAAAAATAAAAAAAAAGTAACAAAGAAAAGAACAAAAAAAAAACCCAAAAAAACGAACGCACACTCCCTTTCACATCAAGAATTGTGACCAGGGACGGAACGTTTGGACTCCGCAAGTCTTTTCTGGGTATCGCTGGTAAGCATTAAAAACGATTACACACATTCAACGAAAGGGAAATAACTGTGTAACTTAGTGTAAGGTGCTCGTCCGATGTAGGCCCGTGTTTTAGATTTCATTTAGGGAGATCAATAAATATTGACCTCAAGGCCAGAAAATCGTTTTCCTCCAGCGAACGGAATAGTTGCAGAGACCAGAACCGATTAAAACCAATCAATGCAATCAAGAATCGATCATAAAGTTGTCAAGTCGGAAAAAAGATGTTGATTGCTGCCTAATGAGGAGACAATATGCTTATCAAAACACTGACCTAAACTGCCAGCTACGACTAATACACAAAAATGTCACGGGATGCCAAGAAGAGAAATTGGCGTCACTCCAGCTTACCAGGTACATGCCTATATATAGTTGAGGTGGAATTGGAAACCGCATTCTGAATTGTCGCTTCAATAGCTTCGTCATTCAATCTTCTAAGACCTCCACCAAGACCCCAACAAGTGAAATGGAAACTATTTCGAAACTTCACGTCGATTTGTCTGAGACAGAGCACCGTTTCCGCCGAGCATGTGAGCAGGTTGTTTTACTAAACAACAAACTCAAAGATCTTCAAGTCCGCTACGACCGAGCAAGGAGGGACCAGATGCGTTCATTTCGCTACAACATTCGTCTCAGGATGTCCGGCATGGAAGGTGTTAGAAACGCTTACTACGAGTATGCACGTCAAAAGGCCGATAAAGTCTTATACCTACGCCACAAGATTAGAAGCTGTGTCGCAACTGATAGTGAAGATAGCAGCCATTCGTCGGAAGGCGAGATGGAGTGAATTTGAAAACACGTAGAATCTTCTTTGCTTATACAAAAGGTTCTTTTCAGAGCCACCAAAATCTACGAAAGATTACCTTCATATTCTATGCATTATCACCCCACCCCACCCCCATCCACTCCCCCATATATTCCAAATCCTTTCCCTGTCCACAATGAAACGCCATACACCCACTAAAGGCACACAGCTGCAATATTCCTTTAAAAAAAAACCAAAAAAAACCCCAAACAAATCGCATGAGGATAGAAGAAGAGCGAAATTGGTCAAATAGTCAAATAAATCAACACCAAACATACGCCCAACCCTTCTCAATGCCACTTTATCCAATTGAAGCAAGGCTTAGACCTTATGCATTAGTCCTTACTGGTTTCTGTGGAGCATCGGGTTATCGCTCACCGACATTTTTATCAAAGAAGCTGCACATATTCAACCATGCTTAAGGTGAACAAAAATTAGTACCAAATACCCCCCCCCCCCCCGCCCCTCCCACACACACACAAAAATAAAAAAAAAGTAACAAAGAAAAGAACAAAAAAAAAACCCAAAAAAACGAACGCACACTCCCTTTCACATCAAGAATTGTGACCAGGGACGGAACGTTTGGACTCCGCAAGTCTTTTCTGGGTATCGCTGGTAAGCATTAAAAACGATTACACACATTCAACGAAAGGGAAATAACTGTGTAACTTAGTGTAAGGTGCTCGTCCGATGTAGGCCCGTGTTTTAGATTTCATTTAGGGAGATCAATAAATATTGACCTCAAGGCCAGAAAATCGTTTTCCTCCAGCGAACGGAATAGTTGCAGAGACCAGAACCGATTAAAACCAATCAATGCAATCAAGAATCGATCATAAAGTTGTCAAGTCGGAAAAAAGATGTTGATTGCTGCCTAATGAGGAGACAATATGCTTATCAAAACACTGACCTAAACTGCCAGCTACGACTAATACACAAAAATGTCACGGGATGCCAAGAAGAGAAATTGGCGTCACTCCAGCTTACCAGGTACATGCCTATATATAGTTGAGGTGGAATTGGAAACCGCATTCTGAATTGTCGCTTCAATAGCTTCGTCATTCAATCTTCTAAGACCTCCACCAAGACCCCAACAAGTGAAATGGAAACTATTTCGAAACTTCACGTCGATTTGTCTGAGACAGAGCACCGTTTCCGCCGAGCATGTGAGCAGGTTGTTTTACTAAACAACAAACTCAAAGATCTTCAAGTCCGCTACGACCGAGCAAGGAGGGACCAGATGCGTTCATTTCGCTACAACATTCGTCTCAGGATGTCCGGCATGGAAGGTGTTAGAAACGCTTACTACGAGTATGCACGTCAAAAGGCCGATAAAGTCTTATACCTACGCCACAAGATTAGAAGCTGTGTCGCAACTGATAGTGAAGATAGCAGCCATTCGTCGGAAGGCGAGATGGAGTGAATTTGAAAACACGTAGAATCTTCTTTGCTTATACAAAAGGTTCTTTTCAGAGCCACCAAAATCTACGAAAGATTACCTTCATATTCTATGCATTATCACCCCACCCCACCCCCATCCACTCCCCCATATATTCCAAATCCTTTCCCTGTCCACAATGAAACGCCATACACCCACTAAAGGCACACAGCTGCAATATTCCTTTAAAAAAAAAACAAAAAAAAACCCAAACAAATCGCATGAGGATAGAAGAAGAGCGAAATTGGTCAAATAGTCAAATAAATCAACACCAAACATACGCCCAACCCTTCTCAATGCCACTTTATCCAATTGAAGCAAGGCTTAGACCTTATGCATTAGTCCTTACTGGTTTCTGTGGAGCATCGGGTTATCGCTCACCGACATTTTTATCAAAGAAGCTGCACATATTCAACCATGCTTAAGGTGAACAAAAATTAGTACCAAACCCCCCCCCCCCCGCCCCTCCCACACACACACAAAAATAAAAAAAAAGTAACAAAGAAAAGAACAAAAAAAAAACCCAAAAAAACGAACGCACACTCCCTTTCACATCAAGAATTGTGACCAGGGACGGAACGTTTGGACTCCGCAAGTCTTTTCTGGGTATCGCTGGTAAGCATTAAAAACGATTACACACATTCAACGAAAGGGAAATAACTGTGTAACTTAGTGTAAGGTGCTCGTCCGATGTAGGCCCGTGTTTTAGATTTCATTTAGGGAGATCAATAAATATTGACCTCAAGGCCAGAAAATCGTTTTCCTCCAGCGAACGGAATAGTTGCAGAGACCAGAACCGATTAAAACCAATCAATGCAATCAAGAATCGATCATAAAGTTGTCAAGTCGGAAAAAAGATGTTGATTGCTGCCTAATGAGGAGACAATATGCTTATCAAAACACTGACCTAAACTGCCAGCTACGACTAATACACAAAAATGTCACGGGATGCCAAGAAGAGAAATTGGCGTCACTCCAGCTTACCAGGTACATGCCTATATATAGTTGAGGTGGAATTGGAAACCGCATTCTGAATTGTCGCTTCAATAGCTTCGTCATTCAATCTTCTAAGACCTCCACCAAGACCCCAACAAGTGAAATGGAAACTATTTCGAAACTTCACGTCGATTTGTCTGAGACAGAGCACCGTTTCCGCCGAGCATGTGAGCAGGTTGTTTTACTAAACAACAAACTCAAAGATCTTCAAGTCCGCTACGACCGAGCAAGGAGGGACCAGATGCGTTCATTTCGCTACAACATTCGTCTCAGGATGTCCGGCATGGAAGGTGTTAGAAACGCTTACTACGAGTATGCACGTCAAAAGGCCGATAAAGTCTTATACCTACGCCACAAGATTAGAAGCTGTGTCGCAACTGATAGTGAAGATAGCAGCCATTCGTCGGAAGGCGAGATGGAGTGAATTTGAAAACACGTAGAATCTTCTTTGCTTATACAAAAGGTTCTTTTCAGAGCCACCAAAATCTACGAAAGATTACCTACATATTCTATGCATTATCACCCCACCCCACCCCCATCCACTCCCCCATATATTCCAAATCCTTTCCCTGTCCACAATGAAACGCCATACACCCACTAAAGGCACACAGCTGCAATATTCCTTTAAAAAAAAAACAAAAAAAACCCCAAACAAATCGCATGAGGATAGAAGAAGAGCGAAATTGGTCAAATAGTCAAATAAATCAACACCAAACATACGCACCCAATCAATATGGTCCCAGGTCACCAAGTATTCCTACGCTTACGAAACAAGGGCGAACGTTATTTTTAGTCTATGTCTCCCTTTTCCATTTTCCCCACTTCTGCAGGGCGATCTTTGCTGACGTTTTGGTGTAGAATCGAGGAAAAGAGTTTAAATATACATTTTCTGCCAGGTTTTGGTGAAAATTCATGATTTTGAAGCGGAAGGATATGATGGTTAATAGGTTGGTTAAGTTGAAAATATGTAGGCCGCAAAGTTGCATTATTTTTTTATATGTCTCTACTTGCAGTTTGTTTAACTCAATCTGAAACTAAAACTTGCTTCGATGAAGAGTTTGCCACACGTTGCTCCATCTGTGGTAGAAATCGTTCTACCCAACGAAAATTTTGGGAAAAGTTAGAGCCGGTCTAAGAGACGAGAAATAACATTAAATTCAATGTGGAAATTCATCATTGGTAAATTGGTTATCTCTTGGACCTTAAAATACAAGGTTCATGGTTATCTGTGGCCATATTCAGCATTCCTGCACAATCCGCTCGAAAGCCTTCTGAATAATATGAATATTTTTCTTAATTCACAGTGAGTTCCCCTTTATATAGCCTACTTATGAACAAGTCTTATAGAAAAAGTACAGGTTTCTATAGAAGTTTGTGGGATTCTATAGAATGCGATAGAATGCTGCAGGAAAACAAATTCATTCTGTAGTTTTTTTCACATGACTATAGATTCAAAAACATGTACTATAGTTTTGTGTAGGATTGATAGATGAATATTTTCCAAGTGTAATTTCCTACAGAATTCTATAGAATACTGTAAGAAACTATTGGAAAAAAAATAAACCTACAGATTCATTGGTGCTACTATAGTTTTCTATAGAACTATCCTGTATCCTCGAGTCATTTGAGTAATCTTTCAGTTTTCTACAGCGTTTATGGTAAAAATAGTTTACTATAAAACTAACTTGTATTCTCATGTCAGCTGGCGTTCTTATAGATTTGGTGGTAAAAACTATAGTTTTCTATAGAACTAACTTATTGTCTCAAGTCAGTTGTGTGATCCTATAGTTTTCTATGACATTCTGACATTTTTTTCTATAGATTTTGTGGAGAAAAATATAATGCATGAGCCTTCTATAGTTTTCTGTAGAATTTATATGTATACTGTACTTAAACCATTTTAACAAATAGTCTACTATAGTTTCCTACATAATAATGTAGAAACAATGTTCTATACTACAGATTTCATAAATTGGTGATGTCCTTTATTCATACTATAGTTTACAACATAATTTAGTGAGGCACTTGTGTGAATTATGTAAACTTTTCCAACATAATTTTCCTGGATACGGTTTTCCTTAATTTATTGTGATACCAAATGACAAACTAAAATAAGCTTACCACGAAAAATAAAATATTAAGTATAAAATAGTGTATATAATATGAAGGAAATAGTGATACATGTTGACACTCAAAGGAATTCCCCACCCACCCTCCAAAAAATGCCAGTAAATGTAGATCTTCACAACAAAAATATCAGATAATAAATTATTCTTCAGATAAGTCAATGAAATAAAGACAAAGTTTATTTAGAATACAGCAGTCTGACTGTTATTTGATCCTGCTAGTTAGATCTTAATGACTATAGCAGATTCTGTACTCAAATTATATAATTTGTTCACGTCACCAGTTCAGCCGTTTATACCTGTCAACAAATTATAATTAACAGCCAATGTACTCTCTTGAAATCTGTTTGGCCATTGGCTGAATTTTAAATTCAAAAATTCAGTGTATAACTACTTAATATGTTAGTATTAACAAGAAACTAAAGAGAATGGTGCTATTTTTTTCACAGATTCGATTAAAGATACAAAGATAAGTATACTTTATTACTTTCTTAACAATAATATTAAATTACTTTAATTAGATAAGATTTATGTGATTTTGTTATTTATTTAACTTTATTACCTATTCTTTTCCTTATATTTCAGTTATACCAAGAAAAAAAACTTTTCATGGTTCTGGCTGGTGAATCATCAACAGAATTCAGATTTATCCATGAGAGAAAAAATAAGCTTATCAATTTAGAAGAATCCATGAGAGAAAAATAAGCTTATCAATTTAGAAGAAATCATGGGCCTACTATAGTTTTATTCCCAAAATAAGATTTAATAAAAAAAAGTCTATAGAATTCTATAGTACCCATTCCTACAGAAAACTATAGTGGCCCAATTTTCAAACTACAGACTACTACAGTATTCATTCCTATACATAACTGTAGAATGTCCTACAGAAAGTGCAATAAAAAAAACCCTATAGAATACTATAATATTTTCCTATAGAAATTTTGACATAAATCTGTAGGAAAAACTATAGGATGTGCGCTACAGAAATTATAGAATATTTGGGGCCGTTATTTCCTACAGGCCCCCAAAATTCTGTAGAATAGTACAGAATTTTGTCCTATAAAAAATGGGACACGCCCCCCCCCCCCAAAAAAAAAAACCTCTATAGTTTTTCTATAGAATTATATACAATACTACACTGGTATTCTGTAGGACTTTTTGCTAATATATCCTGTTGCCAGTCTAATTATTTCTGTTTTAAATTTAGTATTTCTTTCCGTATAATTACTTCGTTTGGTTGCAAATTTGGATGCACCCAAGATGTCAGCGCCGAGTAGCTTGCGAAACAATCCATCCAGTTTAACCTGAAATATTCTGGATATAACCACCAGGAACCAACACAATCGTGACGAACTGCATACGTTGTTATATATAGGCTAACGCGACAATAAAAGTCTTTTGACTTTGATGAAATAAGATCTGCTTCATTTTCGTTTATAAATAAAGAAGACAAATGTCATTTTTTTAGTATGATTTAGATGACCAGAAACTGTTACGGTACTGTTAGTGTTATCAACAACTTCAAAGGTGAAAATGGACAGTAGGGTTGTTTACTGTTGTAATTTAACTCTTTTTTTTTTTTTTTTTAAATTTTCTTTTACTTTTACTACCATCTTTCTTGGTTTAGAAATATTTTCGTCTCATCTTCTATGTATTCTTTACAATTACAGTCTCAGTCTGTCAAGTTTATGATAATAATACATATCAGAAGCATAGGTTTTTCATCAATACTAATCTGTAGTTGATACCACAACTGCAAATTACTGACTTTTAAAGGGGCATTATGGGAGATTATAGATAAAGAGTTGACTGTTCTCACTATAATAGTTTTAAAAAATAGATAATGTAAATAGAATAGACCTATGCTGAAAATTTCAGTCAAATTGGTCCACTCTGAACCGAGATACAATGTATTAGCTTTTGAATTTTAGGCTAGCCTCGATCATCGTTACTAAAGTCGGTACGATAAATAAAACACAGTCTCGATTATCCATTCATTTATTGATTTAATTATTTTTCAAAAAATGTATTCCAATCTGCTAAATATTGCAGGCTAGCGATGGCAACGAGAGTGGAATATGGTCTGGATAAATTGATTGATGTCTAATTAATAATTTAGATAACATTTCTGGCTTAAAGAAAGACCTGCAATAGGCAGATTTAGTTCTTGCATAATGTTTGTGAAAGAGACATTATAACTTTTGAGATCTATCTGTAGGTAACAAAATCATTTGGATTTGCTGTGATTTGAATAAATTTCTTTTTTAGATGAATTATTCACAAACAGAGCAGAAGTTATATGGTGGTGCTATGAGTGTTGTTTTACCACCCCAGTTTGTTGATGTCAGGTAAGAAATTGAAAAACTGGTGAATTAATAACAGTAATATTTCATGTAGAGACAGGAAACTTTGTCATTTTGGTTTATGGTTTATGTACAAGAAATTTTGCGAGAACATCTAGAAATATGCAGATTAAGCAATCTTTAATTTCTTTGTTTTTATGTCTGTGGTGTTATGTTAAGTAGGCTACTGTTTAACATCATCTTTAAGAAGTTTTCCTGGACATTTCAGTCCGCAGTATTTTGGCCTCAATAAAAAATATGTTGCGATGTTTCGAACTTAATTGCATGACAGTTGGGAAAGTTGAATACAAATGTCAAATCAGTTTATGATAAATCAAAAACGATTTTATGAAAATAACACGCAAGTAAAATTTACCGTTCGTCATAAGTACAGTACATGTTTCAAACACTGTATAGACCAACATTGATTGTTTATGAAAAGGATGCTTTATATGTGTTTCTGTGTATTTGAAATATTTTTGTATATTTGATATAAATAGCTGATGAATGTATTTGAAATAGGCCAATTCGAAACATAAAAGAAAATATTAATATGGTTACTAAAGACTCCACCAAATATTAATACAAGGCTACTTTATTATGAAAAACATTGATGAAATAATCTTGGCCGTAATAGGTCATTCAAGCTTTTCAACTATTTGATAACAGAAAAACAACAAAGTATTACTAAATATACACATACTTTCAACAGTGTTTTATTTATTTATAATTTATTATTGTCGAAACGAGTCTGAAACCTTGTTATTATCGATTCTGAGCAGTCGTTAAATAAGTTCGAAAAGTAATCACAGTGCGTCCGAACAGTCTTTTTGTGGAAAGGTCACAGGAGCGAAATGTAGCATTTATGGTTTAACCTATCACAGTGGCTCAAATCTGACTCCAAAAAGAACAAATAACAGATAACTAGCATTTCAGCAATTTGTTATACAAGTTCAATGCCTGCTTACAAGCCTTTTCATGGAATAGAAACAGCATTAAATTGTGTTTTGAATGAAATTAAAATCAGTGTAGATTTGGATAGTGGCAATGTTGCCTTTTTGGTTTTACTTGATCTTTCTGCTGCGTTTGACACGTTTGATCCAATTGTATTGATAAACCGTCTCGATAACGAATTTGGACTAGATGGTACTGTGCTGAAGTGGTTTTCATCATCTCCTAGACAGAAGTCATTCAGTAATTGTGAAAAACAGTTATTCCACATCAGTGACCCTACAATTTGGGCCCCATCTTATTTACGCTCAATACTAGTCAACTTGCACAGATCATAACGAACTTTAGTATTTCTCATCATATATATATGCCGATAATACTTAGTGCTTCCGTAACACATCAAGCCAACAATCTTCTTAAGAACATTGAAACATGTACCTCAAGTATAAAATCATGGATGTCATTTAACAAGTTGAAAATAAATAACGATAAAACAGAAGTTATTCTAATTGTACCACCACCATGAATATCAAAAATAAAAATAGATAACATTCAAGTAGGAAATTCTTTGATCAAACTCTTCAGTAAAGTAAAAAATCTTGGAGTTTATTTAGATAGTATTAACAGCACGATTAGTCATGTGAACCATCTTACTAAAACATGCTACCATCATATCAAGAACATTAGTAGTATTTGTCATCTTCTTACAACTGAAGCTACGCTCGCTCGCTCACTAATTTTGTCACAATTAGACTATTGTAACAGTATCCTCCTCGGTGTCTGAAAAGAATTATTACAAAGGCTGCAAAAAATTCAAAATTCTGCGGCTCAACTAGTCACAAAAATTCCTGTTACCGGTAGATGTTAGATCCAGTATAACCCCTGCATTAAAATCACTTCATTACCTCTGTATCGCTGAAAGAATTGACTTTAAAATTCTATCTATTGTGTATCGCTCTTTAAATGGAACTGGTCCTGCAATTAAGTGTAATTCACTACCCATATCTCTCAAATCTGCCCCATCACTAAAAACATTTAAATCAAGTTTAAATACCTATTTGTTTGACAGTTCTTACAGATAAACTTAGTTGTGTTAGCACTTTGAGCACTTATTATTCTTATTCTTATTATTATTATTGCAACTGTTACAGGTCTTACAACTCAAAGCAACTAGTTGCAGTCAGCTGCACATGTTCAACTTTCTGAAACTTGCTGCAACTAGTGACATGAGTGATCTTACAACTGGTGTCAACTCGTTACCATGAAAATAACATCACAGGATAAGAGAAATGTGTCATGTGACTTTATAAATAAGCAAATGAAAGCGAACGAAGACGCACACTTTTCAAATGTTGATGATGTTGACAATAAAATATTAATAGAATTGTGGCAAGACCGGCCATGCCTTTGGCGTGCTTCTTCTAAGTTATTCACCATTTAGTTGAACACTTGATGAATAAATTAACAGTTAAGTGTAATCGCTATCAGTTTCGATTCGACGGAAGCACTGTGAATTCAGTTGCTCTCAGCTGTGTGATCAATAAGCACACTTGCAACTGACTGTAACTAGTTACTTTGAGTTGCAAAGACGACATAAACACCGCTTAAGGACCCCGCTAAACCTGTTGGAGATAAATCTGATGCGATTGTTTTTAGCTAAATTTGGAGCTCTTTGATGTCAAGTGGCATGCTCACTTTGTTTTTTAATGGTAAAATAGGATGATTTTATACCAGTAATCGTAACCATCCTAGTGTATTGACAAAGCTTTTGTACAACCACAAATATTATCAGTAAGTTGAGAAAAGCAACATTTTTCAAATCTCATCAGTCTGTTTAAATCGCTCATTTTGATTAACATCTTGTACAGCCTCTTGCATTTTTGAATTTGAATTATCTGCCTTGTCTGCTTCGATTGATATTAGGCCATTTGACCCTATGTCAGGTAGGATTATATAATGATATAATAACCATCATTATTTGCTTTTTTTTTTCTTAACAGTTGTTTTCGAGAAATTCCTGATAATCAAGAAGTATTTGCCCACAGTCTTACAGATCAGAGCATTATTGTTGACATATTAGAATATATCACTGAACCAGATCAGCAAGCCATACAGTAAGTCAAGTGTATGCATGTAGCAACATGCAACAGCCATTAACTAATCATTCTTGGTAACACACTCTCCTAGTAATACAGTCAATCTGGAACTCTGCTGTCAATTTTGTTTTGCATCCAGGTTTGAAATATTTGAATGATTAACATTCCTTTTACCATTCAATTTATTATTTGAGAGACATGCCTGTTACTGGATGGACCGTATTATGTCGTAAGTCCTACTGAGATATACTGTTGCCGAGTTTCAACTACAGTCTTTCAGTTTGCATGTTTTTTTTTTAAAAGTTCTTGAGTTAGGTGAAAAATTAAAGTGTTGATTTCTGTGGATTTTAATTGTTAATTTATTTTGTCAATCTGTTTATAATCAGATGTTAAAGAACACCAGTTGTCGCCATTTATTTATATTTTATTCATTATCTTAAATCAAGAGAGATTATTTGAAGAGATGCTTCATTATTATTTATTTTCTAGATCACATTTTCAAGAAGTTGCTGACAGTAATGGTGCCAGTAATAATGAAATAACCAAAATAATCAGTGTGGACGAAGTTCCAAAAGACGAAATTTCTATGCCAGAGTATGTATTTATTTATTATTAACCTTTTCATAAATTTTCTGTGAGAGTATTTTCTATGCCAGAGTATGTATTTATTTATTATTAACCTTTTCATAAATTTTCTGTGAGACCTGATGACCAGGCCCCATGCTATTATAGGATACCCTAGCAATATGCTGATAACCATATCGGTCATTAACAAATTGTCATTTCATGATAACCTGGTCACTGGGGCATCACACTCTGCTTAAACTTCTAGTGGTGCCATTTTATTATTGTGACAAGGTTAAAATATCATAACATAATTTATTGTATTTATAAAAGACAAGGTTGGAATTACAAATCAGATTCCTTGGAATATTTCAGATTAATAGTCTGTCTGTTTTAAAGAAAGTTAAAAATTTTCTTTTTTACACCATCTTAAATTTAAAATTATGCTTACATACTTAAGTTAATAACAAACTGCATGTATTTTAAATTATTCCTGATTCATTTCCAAAGCTGTTAGATTCGGTGGAAAATTGGATCAACTCAGTTCTTTGACACTTGTAACATTAATTTCATGTAAACTTTGATCATTGATGTAACATGAAGAATGCAACGCATGTAGCTTCAGAGAATGTTGTAAGGGAGGCAACTCTATTTAATAAAGCGGTCGAACATTTCAGGTGTGAAAAGGTTTACTATATATTGGGTCAACAACATGTGGCCAAATATAATGAAACAGCTAAAAATATCATCAACCTTCATCTTGGTTTATTCCGACTACCTATGTATGGAACAGATATACTGGTTACCTTTAATGATCCAATTAACATTAGGTAATAATTTTGTTTTTTTGGGAAAATGATATAGAATCTGTTTTAGCATCTCATCAACAATAATTTGGTCATTATGGGACTAACAGGTGGTAATGTTATTTATGCATGTGACCTAAGGGAATTTTGTCTGGAAAGAATCTCTTTACAACAGCTGGTTTTACTAAGCCCAACATTATATGCCAGTTTGTTCTCAAGTAGATAGCTGTTTATTGTCCCAATATTTACCCTGCAAGATGGATTCAAGTTTGAAAAATCCTGTAAGGTACTGTTAAACTTATGTTAGGCTACATTTAGTTGAGAGCCCAATGGTTCAACCATGCAACTGCGATAACCTCAGAGTTCTTTAATTCATTAGAACTGGGGTTCATTTCCTCTTTAACTCATTAGAGCGGGAGATGAAAAAAAATGAAATGGGGTTTAACGTCCTACTGTTCTGCTCCAAACCTGGGCTAATGAAGACGGGCATACGCCATACAGTGTGCTATGAGGGAAATTTTGCCCAGACAGCGGCACTACGGCCTACTCTTATATCAAATTCCAACTGCCAAGGGATCTTTTACGTGCACGCCAATGTGTTCACGGGACCTCGGTTTTTCGTCCCATCCGAACGGCTAGACAGCTTTCCTTGTCAGCCCCTCCGTCCTGCATCACTGACAAGGGAGAACCACGCCGGAAAATCTGGATGAACTTTCTCGGCCAATGCAGGGATCAAACACCCGACCTCCAGGCTAGCGAGCTAGCGTCTTACCCACATAGCCACGTGATCCCCATTAGAGCGGGAGATACAGAAGCCCTTTAAGGCTGTATACTTGCTTGTTTCTCTTGTACATGACCACGTCCATTCTCCCCACCCCTCCCACGCCCCACACACACCTTTTCGAAAAGGCTGGATATACCCATCTTACTTCCATGTACCTAGCTGACAATTTTCAGCTGAAGAGCCTTTCAGAGTTTTGACTGCAGAAGGTACATATATCATACAAATGTTGGGGGGGTACTATTTGTAACTATTTGATACTTTAAAGTGACAAGAAAAGCTTTAGCAGGTACATCAACAGTAAAATGCCAACATGAATTTCTAACTTTACAGTAAATACATGATAATTTTAGTTGACATTTTCTTTGTTCTAGCCCAGAAAGTAGCAGCCACAAGCCTGTACCAACATCAGCAACAAGATGGACAGATTCTGATTTTAAACACATTATTAAATCATTACAGATTCTGGACACTGGTCTGTTTGGTCAGTGATAGAAATTAAACGAGAACTGCTTCTTATCAAATTTCCTGCATACAGGACACACTGAGCCAAATTGGGAGCCCTACTGTGTACTAATGTGTTCTTAATGATATGATGCTATCATCAGAGATCTCTTCCCAAGAATTTGGTATATTCCTGGAATGTGGGGCTATTTGAATTCTACAGCACAGCATGCCATATGGAATTGAATTGTTTTAATTGTCTTGTTGATACTCTACTTCATTCATTTTGAGACTAGCATATTGTACAATTTGGCCCAATAAATTACAACTGCAATGGGATGTTTTACCTGCACTAACTTTATTACCCAGAAAGAGGTAGAGTGCTTGTTAAAAACTTGGTGTATTTTGTGACCTGGGGTGGGATGTAACAGCAGTGATGCAGTAATTATTATAATAATAATATCAACAAGAAATAAGACTACATTAACTGAAGAAAATCCTTTTTTAAATGTTCACACCTGCTTATTATGAATAAAATCATAATATATTCTAACATCGCACCACCCTGGTCATGTTTATATGAAGATACATAGTGGGACTCGCTCTGAGCTGATACTCCACTCACTGTGAAAATGGTTTGATTTATTATTAACCGCTCTGGGGTACCATACATGCTGGATTATATAATTAGTGAAAGTAGCCAAACCTATTTTTTGATTGAGGTTAAAATAAAGTATTGGGGATTCGATTTGTTTTTTGAAATGAAAGAGATCTACCAGTTTTCTACTATATGGTATCACTGTATGGATATTTGGTATCATCAGAATGTAAGTCTGCCCAGTATCTGGTGGCGGGTGTTGCTGTGAGGGTTGTGATTCTGGACGTGAATTCTTGGACTAGATTAGCTCAAAAGTGTACCACATGAAAATCGTACAGCAGTGTACCGTACATCTTCAGTTGTTACAAAAATACTCTTGACAGACATTTCTAGTGGTGAGGTACCCCTGACATAGCTATGTAATTGCCAGACATTTGTAGAGGCTAGATTAGTTGAAATCTGTACCACCTAAAAATGCTTTGAAGTTGTTCATTACCACCACAGAGTCACGAATGACCACCGCCAGACCGTTTGTGTGGTGGGTTCCCCTTAACAGACACGCCCAATTGGGCTAGATTAGCGGGCACCTTCCCGTGGTCCAAAAAAATTAAAATTGTGCCAGGATGCGTAGAATACTAATACCTAGCACGTATGGAAGACGCGATAAACTGCGGTTGCAAAAAATTGATTTTGAGGCAATGCGTTTTTGAAAAAGAATGTTGCGATTTGAAAATACTCCAGAAACCACGCCTAGATTTCGTTGACCAGGGGTAAATTCGATATTTCTCCTAATCACCAAATCCTATTAGTATTTGACGGATTGCTACTTTAAATATACATATTATATTAAAAAATAGCACCGTTAGATAAACAAGAATCAAACATTCAAAATAAATAGAATTGAAAAACACGGTAAATTTGGTTATTATGTTAAGATTTAAAAAGGGACTTCTGGTATCAATTAAGATCCCCAATGAAAATACCCGTTTTCAGATTTTTATTAAAAAGTTTAAAAACTGTATAGCTGTTGTCTGTTCTGATATGTCATTTCATAAAAATGGTTCTTTTGGGTGCTAATGAAAACGATCCTACTGATAATACTGATTTACCTCTAGGGACACAAGCTGGTGTTAACACCAACTTGAAATTATATCTGACAAATAATTTGAACAGGAATCAAAGTATGAACATTAATAGTTTTGACATGTAAAATATTTTAAACTGGATATACAAAAGTCTGCCTAAATGCTTTCTGTATGATACCTGTCATTAATGGTAACTGTGAAAAAGGTCACCAGCAATTACCAACCGTGTGGTTTGGATACATTTTTTAAGCTTTCAGAACAGAAGCGATAAGTGGTACCAGCTGTTCTAGCAAGAGTAGACGCATACCCTGCCTTGAAACTTTAAAATACAAAATGACAATCCGTATATTGCATACATAATTGTATTAAAATATTAATAAAACGTGTATCGTATCATATTATTTATTTCAAATAATGTCATCAGTTGTACGCCATTTCTTTGTAAATATTTTTATCGTCTTCGCCTTCTGAGGTTTGCCTCCTGAAAATGGGAAATCTTATTGTTAAAAAAAACTAATAAAAATGGTAATGTACGAAATATGTATGTCATTTAGAATAATGTATGCACAAAAACCATAACATGAAATGAGAACAGAACCATTATCAACTGGCGTAGCCAGTCCTTTATGCATGTATTCGCAACGCTGCACGTATTCGCAACGCAACAAGCTTTAACGGCGTCCTCTACTTTTCTGCAACCATATAATCCGAATTGGTCGGGGGGGGGGCCTGAATGATTAGCACGAGCGCGCTGTGTCATACGGTCTGTCATTGAGTCGAACTGGCGGGGTTTCCATTCCCCGGTTGTACGTGACAAGGAGTAGGATCGCCTGTCCAACCTCGTGGGTTTCCTCCCACTGCTAAAGACCCCTACGCGCAGTGAATTATTGAAATAAAATTAAACCATATGTTAGTCCCGAAATGACCTAGTTTGTGTCGAGTGGACGTTAAACCCCATTTCTCTCTCTCTCTCTCCGAATTGGTCCGAGATAGTTTATAATTAACTCAGATATTTAGCAGCTTAAAAGCCGTTCGTAGGGAATAGACAAAATATTAAATCCACTGAAGACGATTATAACTATTGTAATACTTTATGGAACGAAAAGGTTGTCGCTAAGTAAAGGGGTAGGGTGGGGTGGGGGCGGGGGTTGGATGGCCGAATGGTTAGCACGTGCGCGCTGTATCATACGGTCTGTCATTGAGTCAACTGGCGGGGTTTCGATTCCCCGGCTGTACGTGACAAGGAGTAGGGCCGCCTTGTCCAACCTCGTGGGTTTTCTCCGGGTCCGCCGATTTCCCCCCCTCTCTCACTAAGTAAATGAATTTAATAAAAAAAAAATAAAAAAAGAAACATTGCAACATACCAAAAGTGCTTATTTCATTTTTTGTGCGTACGTGATTAGGAAGAGGGTGAGGTGTATAGGGATATTCTAAGAAAAAATAATACACAAATCTAGTATTATCTCAATTATAAACGTTAAGTAATCTGTATAGGGGAGAGAGAGAAATGGGGTTTAACGTCCACTCGACACAAACTAGGTCATTTCGGGACTAACATATGGTTTAATTTTATTTACATAATTCGCTTGCGCGCAGGGGTCTTTAGCAGTGGGAGGAAACCGGAGGACCCGGAGAAAACCCACGAGGTTGGACAGGCGACCCTACTCCTTGTCACGTACAACCGGGGATTCGAAACCACGCCAGTCGACTCAATGACAGACTTTATGATACAGCGCGCGCACGCTAACCATTCAGCCATCCAACCCCCCAATCTGTATAGGACATTTCAAGGGAATTCAGTTGACTTCAGTTGAGCTGTAGCCTACCCATCTGTAGTGACCCCCATCTGATTATGTTAATCAATATTCGAAACTTTGTAAAAATGGAAAATTTTCCTTACATTACAAATATCACAGGTATCTGTACACGAATCACAAACTTCCATCTGACTAGCTTTAGCAGCTTGATAAAACACAGTCACAGAATTATCTGAAATAGAATTAATGTAGCATTTAAGGCGGCCCCAGATATACTTTGATGAACTGGTACACGTAATACTAGATGAAACCCCGTTGTCATCATCTATCCTTGTCATGTCCCGTGAAAATTCCGGAGGCAACAATGGCCGCTTTATATGAATGGGTATTTTGTGGAATACTAACTCTAACCCCAACCCTTTTTAAGAGGGGTAAAAGGTAAATTGGATCCAAGTTCAGTCGTCTAAAAAGGGTTAGGGTTAGTATTCTCCCAAATACTCATTTATATACTGTAGTAGTACCGTCCTACAAAAGTCTCTGATATTTGGTTGGGTTTTTGTTTATGTTAGAGCTGGACTATAATTGCCTATGTTTTTGTCTTTTTTGTCTTTTTTTTTTAAAGTGTTATGTATTTAAGAACAATTTTTCCAAGACAGCGACATTTCCGCCCACTTTTCTTAAAATTAAATAAGAAGTCTAATAGTGGAAACCATCCCATACTGGTAAAGGAGGGAATTAACTTGGGGTACGCGCTGCATGGCAATTGTATCTTATTGCATTGAAACGTAAACAACTTGTGTTGTGCAGAAACTTACCAGGATCATAATAATCATAAACTTTAACAAAAGCTGGCTTAACTTTTCCCACTTTATCTGATCTTTTCAGATTGATGTCAACACAGGTAGAGTTGTTGGTTATCTATATAAAATAATTTATGAAATAAAATCACCACGTCAAAACCATACACTCGGAGGAAATCACTATAAATTTGGACACCAAATATAATTTATAGTGTAACGAAATTTATGTAAGTTATTTTGACGGAGCTAATGTTAGGCACATAACGATTCCTGGAGTCTGATGATGGACCTTATCTTTACATTAGTTAAATCGAAGAGATTCCTATACCTCATCAAAATATAAAATCACATTTCTGAATCCCAACTCAAACCGTTTAATCTCTGTCTGTGCTGCTAGGTTACCACTATCTAAGGTAAAACCACTGACAATTCCTACTTCCATTATCGCCATACCACTGGATGACCCTTCAACAGTGTACCTTTAACAGACATCATCGTGGAAATTAAGGATGCATTATGTAATATTGAGATTAAGAACTAGTCGTTATTACTATAACATTATTTCAAAAAAGCAGGCCTGAGTAAGAAGTGGGGAGGGGCACACCGGCCATGAGGCCAAGTAAGCGCCCCCGAAAGACAAAGTGAGCGCTCCTAAGCTCGATTACATTATGTCATCATTCTTCCACTCTTCCGTGGTCTTATACTGTTTCAACACTATCATATTCGCGGTTATAGTGAACCGTCCAATTAGTAGTAGGCCTACAACTAGTGCGTGGATCGTGTTGCGACAGATTGTAGAACTGATCTGTCAACTCTCACAAATCAGGTAGGTCTAGAGATTCTGTGCCATTTCTGATCCTCTCGTTCACAAGAATTTGCTCCCACCAATGAACTCAAATGCCAGGAAATTGATTAAAATTTTCAAGCCCATTCCCCCAAAAATTAAATGTCCAGTTATATATTATACGTCGCAATTGGAAATATTTTTCGCGTCTATTCATGTAATACGGTACTATAGGGGTTATTTTAGTTATATAAAAGGAGCTCTGCTTAATATATTGAAGTAGTTAACAAATGGATGACAACGAAAAATGGGCTAAGTAGGTATTTTTCAAGATTCAAGTTTCTTAGACTAACTAGAGACATTATCTGCCATCATCAATTGCTGAAAGTCGGTTACTATCATCCAGATATCTGGTGCACAGATCGGTACTATAAAATAGAATAATGTTGACGTAAAACGGTGCTCATACGAAACACTTACCCCAAAATGGTAATTGTCCCGCCCTAATAGCTGACGCATCTATACTTTCTATATAAGAACGAGCGGGGTTAAATTTCCCTTCAGACATCATAGAACGGTCCGAGAGGGGAACATCATAGCCTCCTCGGCTTAGAGGCTAGGGTGAAGACGGCATTTCAGAGATTCTAGGAAGAACATCATGCAGAACTATCAAGAAGTATGTGGCTATTGCCACGTTTTAGCCGTTAGGTCTGAGTTATAAAGGATGTTAAACTCAGACAATAGATATGATAATAACTCATAAAGTTCTATCATAGATGCAGTAGTTTGCTGTATTGTAACCTTTGTATTATGGCTGTTGTATTCGATATATAAACTTAGTTATAACAAGACATAGTGTTCCGGAGTTAATTGATCCCACAACGTGAAGTTAAAGTTAGTTCCGAATTGATCATAGTGTCACCCTAGTATCACGTGGCGTTTTCTGGAAGTTCCTGATTAAAGTCACATCTGTCCCCGTAGTGTCACATGGACCTTTTTGTTTGGTACCGCGACACAGGATAGTGTCACATTCATAACATCTAGATCCGCTACTAAAAAAATAGATAATGATAACTAAATATATTGAAAATTTCAGTCAAATTACTTTATTTTAAGTGGCGTTCGAAGTTTCTCGATTGTCATGTACCATTGCAACGATAACAAAGTCTCGATTATCCATTTTAACGTTAAATTATTAAATGTTGTGGTGGTTCTAATCCATATAATATCACGCCCATCCGACGGCCTGGAGAGTTGATTATGGTTTTGTAAGTGAATAATTAACAAATTAATAATTTATATAACATTTGAAGCCTAAAAAAAAGACCCGCAATAGGCAGCTTTAGCTCTTACATAATGTATATTTAATAAATGTAAGTCGTGGTAATAATTGGAGGGTCTAGAGCACAAGTGATCTAACAACCAACTAAAATGGTTGGTAGTTAGATCACTTGTGCTCTAGACCCTCCAATTGAAAGTTATATGACACAATAATGGTTTCATGTATTTGTTCGCTTCAAATGTTATGGGCAGCAAAACTTCAGTACTGATATTCTTAGAGCTAGGCAAGACAACATTGGTCTGAGGAGTTAATTCTCCTCGATAAAGCAGAGTTACACAGCTTACGGTGGTCAGAAAGTTATGTCTTCGAGGAAAATGTCTAGAGAATGTTGCTATAAAGCTTCTAAATTCTCACTGAATGCGTTCCTGGAATTTAACCAATTTATTTTCATCCGATAACATGGTGTCCCTCATTGTCTTGTTTTAAGGCCTAAATTTTTGTTTTAGTTGTTTGTTTTATAGCATGGTAGTTTGCTATTACTTATCCAGCTACTAGCCAGAAATTGTGTAACAACCAAATGAAACTCTAAAATTTACTTACTCTGTACAAACTTGTAATCTAAGGAGTAAAGTTGTTTCTTCAAGAACCTTAACTCGCGCTAAGAAAGCTGTTTCAGCCTCGATATCTTCTGCATTATATTTTACCAGTGCCTTTAAAATGTATATTTTGAGTGAATCATATACCCTAATCATAGACAATATTTTAATTTGCGTTAATTATTTAAATAAAAACCATTACAAATATGGAAATGTATCTTCTAGGAATCTTACCGTCAAAAGCACTCTCCCTTGACCGGTAGCCTGGACAGTAATCGTTTCTGACGTCTCCTTCAACTTAAAATAAAGCATATTAATTTATCTAATATTTTTTCCATGATATACTTTAGGGATACTATGATATATTTATGATTTGTGCAGATTTCTAATAAATATTAATACCAGCCAATTGTTTAAAGGATAGCATGCCAGGCTAAAATATATATTTTTGAACAAACATTGTATTAAAGATTAAAAGATAGCATTCTAGGCTAAAATATATATTTTTGAACAAACACTGCATTAAAGATTTGAATTGACCGCAAGGCTCAAATTCAAAAGAACAATCGTTGCGAAATTAAAAATATCTTACATTATGTCAAAAAGAAGACAAAGAGCTTATGCTTCTTGTTATAATAGTTCAAATATAAGGAAATGAAAAATGAATATATTGAAAATTCATTCAAACTACTTTATTCTGTGCAAAGTTATGAGTGTTTTAAGTTTTGACAAAATGTAGTGTAGATCGTTATTATCGTATCAATGGTACCTGACAATCGATACTAAGTATCGATTATATATCGGAGCTATCCAATGGCCCAGTAGGTTGATTGTGGGCATGTCATGTTAATAAATGTTTAAATAATAATATACATAACATTTGAAGTCTTAAAGAAGACATGAAATGAGCAGATTTAGTTCTTACACAATATATCTTTAATACCTAGTAATGCAGTTGGAGTAATTACTACTTACAACAGCCTTTCTCTGTATCATAGCATTTTGTTTGGTGATTCTCCAATTATAAACATCTTTACAAGCAGTTATTGTCAAAGATACATCTAACGTGTTTCCATAAATTAATGTAGAAAATTCTGACAGTGCATGAAGAGCTACAACAGTATCCTTAAATGAAATGAAATGAAATCTCATTGGTCAAAATTATCGCCCAATTATTGTAAAAGGAATATACTGCAAAATTTCTTTGATCGATTAAAATGTGATATGGACATAACAGGACTTCTTTGGTAGATTACATGGGCATTAGTGAAAGATCAAATCTTATTGGAATGCCATAGTGCGATATCTAGTAAAACGATTTGGTCTGTCTGCTTAGGGTCATCCATCAATGCGCTGGTTTCAATTGTTTTATTGGTGTGTCTAGTATAGTGGCATTATGTGCACGGAGAACTATCTACTTTGGGAATATGTCCTAAATGGCCGCCATATTGAAATTGTAATATTTTCTTATATATAGTTCAAATCCGTTTAACATGTTTCATACACACAAAAACCTAATAAATATTTTCATATATCATTATAAATGAAATCATCGATGTAGGAATTAATATGTCGGTCAACCAGCTTTGTGCCTCTTCTCAAGCAGAGCTAATTGTAGATAGGCAGTGTAGTCTGATATATTGGTCCTCCTCCACAAGACTTGGTCTATAATTAGAAGAATAACCTACCCGTGTACTACGAAATCCACCATTGCCGGTTTGTTGCTGTATTAACCAATTCATGACAGGGATACCCTTCACTAAGTCTTTATTATGAGCATATACCAATAACACATAAGCCGTACATTCTATTGTTGCCGCGTTAAATCGTTTAGATGGCCGTGACCAATAATAAGATGGTTGATTCGGCGATGTAACCTCCCAAAATGCCGTGGCTCCCTCGGTCGTTTTGAGACTTTCTAATTTTACCATAATATCACCAACGAATGACATAGTATGACCGGATGTTATAAATGAATAAGCTGTGATAGCCAGATCAAACACACTGGTCATGGTTACAGATTCTGTAGCTAGAATGTTTACAGCTTTTGATATACTTGCCTAGAGAAGATATAGAAAAATCATGCGTAAAGCATTAGTTGAAGATCGCATAATATCATCACCCTTGGGTTTTGTTATTATACCCAATGTAAGCCACTTCAATCAGTAATTTAGCAGACACAAGTATTTTATTGTATAGAACGGAGGGTCTGGCAAGGAACGGCATCTAGAAGTCTGGCTAGGATAAGAAACTAAGGTTCTGTGAATCCTTGGCAGGTGGAATTCGATGAAGAGAGTAGGCGGAAACGCAGGTGTCCGGGTGTAGTTTCCCCCAAAGCACAATGCATGGCAAATGCATGTCCACATCATTCCGGTTGGTGAAGAAAAGCCGGGCGTTAAACCGTATTACAGTCCACACCACAGTCGTTAAATGAATGAATGAATTAAATGCGGTTTAACGTCCTACTTTTCTATTTCAACCGGTCTAAGACACACGGATATGCGAAATTATGCCCATCTGAGCTACACTGTTCCTTACCATGTCCTCTAACCTGCAACACTGGCAAGGGTAACCACACTGGACAATCCAGAAGAACTTTCTCGGCCAACCCAGGTGGAATCCTGGACCTCCAAGATACCGAGCAAGTGTCGTATCTACGCAGCCACCGCGACTTCCATGTCTCTTCAAGGAGACAGGTCGATCAATCCATGGTCGAAAAAATAGGTGCTTTAAAATTGTGCACATTATAGCCTAAAGCGGTTTTCAACAAGTTCAATAAACAAAGTTCTAAAGCGTTCAAATCTTGGATTCCGCATAATTTGGAGAGTATGGGTGTATTTAAAACGTGATTATAATATTATTTAAACCTAATATTTTTGTTGATAAAGACAATGTCCCTAGAACATGATATCGAAATATAGTGATAGTTTTAAAAAATGTTTATATAAACACGGAGACTTACAGGAACTCCTGAAATAGTCTTTGCTTCACTCAAAGCAATGACAGTAAAAGCAGTCAATGCTATACCACTTGTAGATTCTCCCTAAAAATGACAAAAAATATCAAATGTAGACCATGAAGCGTTCTCACACGAGACACTGTGTTTACTCACCATAATTAAAATTTCGTATCAAATTTTAACAACAGAAGACTTAGTAATGCACTGTTTTGATAATGTAATTTTAGAGAAATATTTCTATGAAATTTAAAAACATACAAATTCTCTGTGGATGGTCCTCCCTGGTTCTATATATATTCCGGTATAATTCTGATTGCCTATCAAAAAAATGGCGGCTGATCTAAGGACAGTATCATCAATATAAATGTATGGTTTGGCAGCCACAAAGGAATGGAGTACATAAGCAGTTAACCTAAAATAGTAATAGTATTTAAGATCCATTAAACCAAAATCTTCAAGGGTCAAAATTTGAATGAATGCATGCTTTGTTAATACAATAGTCGCTACTAGAACGTAGCTAAAACGTTGAGATATACTGATGTGTTGGTTGTTAGCTACGATTGGATGTTTTTAGTTTCACCTGGCAAACTTAATTTCTTTATTAATGCATGCCAACGCTTAGACATGAGATAATTTAATACTATTAGAAGTAATCAAACATACACGACCCAATGCAGTGACACAACTTTCGCTTTCCTGCAAAAATATTCTCAGTTAAGTTAATCAAGCGGTGTTTTAACCGCCATGGAACCGCCATTGATAATTACGGCGCGTTACTAATGCGCGACCCGTTTAGGTTCTCTACTTTGTCCAATTTGCACATTTCGATTGGCTGATGTACACGACATATATTTAGCCCCGCCTTCATGACGTTAAGATGTCAAACCTCTTTCGTTTTACAATGTCGGCAATCGCCAACTTTTAACGCTTCGATTTAAACGAGATGATTTGTACCCGTGTCAGGTAGGATTATATGCTTAATTGTAGATGGGTGTGGCAGAAATGTATCAAATAATAATAATCAATCGTTGTTTTAAAAGAATAATTGACAGTTGTGCACATCGGCCCTTCCCAGAAAGAACAATAATAGTACCATATCTTATCTCGAGACACGCAGGGTGTCAGTGGGTAAAGTTATGGGGTACAAATGGAGAGAACAACAATAAATTGACATTTTAAAGCATTCACCTTTTGACACTATGTTCTAACAATTGATCTACAGTTAAGAATTTAATAGAACTGAAATGAAATGGGGTTTAACGTTCTACTCGACTGGGCTAATTTTGCCCGGACAGCTACTGCCTACTTTTATATCGAATTCCATCTGCCCATACATTGTCCCTTGCCATGCCCTCTGTCCTTCACCACTGACAAGGGGGAATATCCCGATAATCGAACAACCTGGCTAGTAACCAACGTCTTACTCACTGAGCCACCGCGGCTCCAAATTTAATAGAACACAAAAATCTATACCATTGGCTTCCATATGTATCCTGATCCCCAAAGGCACTAAAGGAACCATCTCGTCTTCTATACTTCATTTCTCTTGAATAACCTGCGTGGAAACGAAAGTACAATGTCTATAAATTAAATTTAGGCAATAATTTGATATATCATTGCAATAAAAACCATGTATGATCTATGCCTACCATAAATTCGTTAATGTCTTGAAGGCATTAAATCTATCTAAGTATTCTTGAAAATCATGACGTTCTAGGTGTGTTCAGAATCGTTCTGATTTTGGATGCGGTCGGTGTGCATACGTTGTAAATGAAAATAAAATAAGACGCCCCCACCCTTTTAAATCATGATAAGCTTAATCAAAATACCTGCTTGCATGTGCTTATCTGTTTTACTTTGTATCTCTGATGTCAAACCACCAACAACGTCCAGATATTTACGGACATAGATGTTTGGTACAAAATTAATCATATTCTGTTCACCACACCCATAAGGCATCTTGATTAATCGATCCAAATTATTTAAAGGACTGGCCATTATATCACCTTAAATAAGACATTACGTAAATTATAATATTTTTCTTTGGACGAGTGCAGACATGACAGATCCAGTGTTTATTTTTACATTTACCACAGGCCTACTTAAAGATTTGAAAAGAATTACAATTTCAGTTTACGAAGTTAACAATACTTTCAAAATACAACGAATGAACGAACGAAATGTGGTTTTTAACGTCCTACTTTTTTATGTGAAACATATTATTGTGCCCGGACAGCAGTTGAATTCCAACTCTCAAGGATTCCTTTACGTGCACGCCAACGTGTAAACAGGACCTCGATTTTCACCCCACCCGAACCATTAGACGCCTTTCATCCCACCCGAACCATTAGACGCCTTTCTTGTCAGGCCATCCAGCACCATAGACAGCGGGAAACCATATTGTAAAATACAAAATATATTAATACCATAAGCGGTAAGTACTATTCTCTGCGAACCGGCAACATAATTATTTGGGAAAGACAGACTAAATTTCTCTTCAACTGTTTGTGTAGTTTCACCGACTAGATTAATCAGCATTGTTTCTGAATATTCTGATGGTACCCCTTCAGCCTGAAAGTAATGTAATAACATTGTAATTGTATATAAAAAAACGAAAAACCGCATCTTCTTAACTACTATTATCGAATTCGCCCTGACCAAAATTCCACATGTAATCCGCAACAATTGATGCCATATATTAGGTAAAACAGATTATGAAAATGTTTCTTACTTCAACTAATAAAGGTTTTACTAGTCTATCCCCGGCTTGGTGATCAGCGCTCTTGGCAAACACTTGAATATCCAGGCTTCCTAAATCAACAGCTTTTATTGCAAAATAGACTGACGCTGTTTTGTCTTTAAGTATCTAAAAATAAAATAAATCAATCGAACAAATAGATAACAGGAACGACGTAGTTTACTTTTGAATCAATAGAAACGTAATTGTCAAATACTTTATTGGAAAATAAAAATGTATTTAAACTGGACGAGATGAGATGAATGATGATATGAACGATCAGCCTCCTATAGATAACCCTTGGAGATCATTTATTTCCAATGTGTCCAATCCACTTCCAATACCTGAATGGTCCGGACTTCTTCTTCAGTACTGTCAATAAAATAACCCTCAGCATTAAGCTTTCTTATAACATAGCCTTTTGGTTTCTCCAATGATACTGTTGCCTATTTAAAGATAACAGTATTGATAACAATAATTTTAAAAATATAAAGTTTACTTTTGTTTTATGTGTGCACGTATTCTTTGTGGTCTTTTTATAATGGTAATGTTATCCCCCTTTAAATATCTAAATCCCCATAAAATGACATAAATATTTGTTGTTTTCAGGATGTCAATATAATGTAGATTAACATGATATAAATATTAATTCATTAATTTAACATTTAATCATGTGTTCCTTTCTCTTAAAAAATGTTCAACTGTCTTTCTAACAATGACAATTCTAACATCATATGATTAAGATTGTTTTGATTGGTTTAGATATAAACCATTTGGAGTGGGATGACCATGTCTTCTAATGAAAACGATACATTTAAATTGTAAGGAAATGTCAAAAATAATCAGATAGGAAGTAATCTTACTACTTACCTGAATATCTACATTTAGATAATTAAAGACAATGGCTTGAATAAGAACTTCTTCTCCTCGGATAATTGAATAGGGTAGGTTTAAGGTCACGAAGAAATCTCTATAAACTTCTAACTTCAAATATAAAATGCCACAATAAATGAGAGAACATAGGCTGGATGCTCGGGTATATTTAATTTCTGGGTTGATACGTGGATAATCTATCTATATTTACTAGAAAACTATTTTATTATAAATCAAAATTTCACTAATATATCAAATGATTCATACCGATGCTAATTCTTTTGTAAACCCAACTCCATAATATGTTGATGGATGAACAGCAAAGGCATGGGCTAACCATGAAGTAATAGTGTCAGGAACAATCAGTGAAAAGTTGGCAAATCCATCGAAACTAAAAAACGAATTAAATACACAGGCTATAAACATTCCTGTATTTATTTGTGTCTGGTGGTAGATGGTCAAAAAGGTATTGCCTTCATCTCTACATTTACAAATGATTTTTAAATAATATCTAATTTGGTGGCTGTTTCTACACCATTAGGTATTTTCGTTTCAAGTTATGTATTTCTCTTGGCACAATTGTTGTTATAAAATGAGTAGCATTACTAAAACGCGTTTGTGGAAGCGGAAGTTCAATAAAGCTATTTCACACTATTTTATGGGAAGTAAATCATTTATCAAACTTAGCCATTTTATCAGTGGTTATATAAAAATGAATTAATGAACCTACGATGCTATTTTCGTTTCCCAGATCCAGGTTTCAGGAAAGAACGACCTCTCTTTCAGCGAATCCTCCCATGGTTCTGGTGATTTTGGAGGTAATTCACCAGATGGTGGTGGTTCGGATGTCGCGGGAGGTGGTGCTGTGGCCATGGTTCCGGGTTGTGGTAGTGAGGCAAATTGTCCTGGGACTGGAAGGCCGTACGGGTAACATGGTGTTGTTGGCTCAGCATAATATTTATATATCAGAGCATCGGTAATCACATTAATACCATTATACTAAAAGCGTAAATTAACAAATGTGCATTGCTGAGCAAATATCATTGTAAAGCCAAACTGATCCGGAAAAAAATGTTGTGACCCTTCTGAATTATATATATTGTGCATTGCGCTTTATAGGTGTCAATTCTGGGTGGAGGTTGGGGATCAGTAAAATTTCTCCTTAGCTTATCTTAGCCTTGTGTTTGATTAATTTCCGAAAGTGGCGTGAGAAAAACCACAAATGATATGTGTATAATAAAACAGAAACAGTCATAAAAGTATGCCAAGTTTCTGTAAATCACTCATCTAAGAATTTGTGAAATGGTATTATAAAATATAAAACAAGAAAAAATATAACATATTTCTTACATACCTTTAGTATATCATCTACATCTGTTCCAGGTGTAAATATAGGATAGTAGTAATATGGACTTCTCTTTGTTCTACCAGATCTCTTGGTTGCTGATCGTTTCTTACGGAGCCATGGCATATAATCCCAATTACCATATGTTGGTATAGATCCCGTGTCTAAACTGCCCATAAATTCTACAACCTAAAAGATTTGCCCAAACTATTTGATGAGCGTACAAATTCGTCTGATCGATTGGTATGTGACGGTGTGTAACGTCTTGTCGACACAGTACTTTGACTAATTTGAGACTAACATTTAATTACGGTAAGATTCTTTACGTTCAATGCTAAAGGTTCTTTTAAGTATAGTCCATCTGCTTATAAGATAATGTAAACATTTCATTATACACATTAAATAGTCCTTATTAAAGAAGCAATAGTGTTTTTAATTTATAAAAGCCAACCACCTCCAACATTTGCACGACTTAAACATGATATATATATACTCTTCAAAAAAATGTAGGGGATATTCAGAAATAATATAAAACTGCGGATATGCACTGCTGTTTTTATTAGAGGTAACCAGTGTATGTTAATAGCAGGCCAATTGCCTACACATGAGCATAAACAGTTCATATGGGCGGCTTATCTGTCGGCCCCATTTCACTCGCAAAGAGATACACTGTCGAAAGTGAAAATGGACGTTTTTGATTTTTGTCTTAATAATGAGTAATTGATCAACCAATCCTAAGACATTCAGCAATTCGTCGTGGCATGCTCCTAATCAACCGTCCAATCACGATTTGGGGCAATCTGACCCACTCCTCTTGCAGTGCCACGGCCCATCGACGATTACCCCAATTTCTACGCTGCCTACACCATTGACGCCTGTTTGTCATGTGCTGGCGAACTAATGGGGGCACAACACGCGGTCGTCGGGCATGCAAATGGGCTGCATGGAGCCGATTTCTAATCGTTTGGTGTGTAACTCGAATTCCTGTAACTTGGTACAAGTGTAACCCGAATTCCTGTAACTTGGTACAAGTTTACAGAAAGCTGATTGGCTGTTTGTCCTCGATTTCGCAGGACCTGTGTACGAATGTATCGATCATGGGCTTGTGTAGTGGCTCTAGGACGATCTGAACGAGGTCTATCATCAACATTGTATGTTTGTTGGTACCGGTTCCACAGTCTGCTGATCAAAGACTGTGACACATTAGAATGTTGGCTACTGCTCGCTGTGCAGAACCCATTTGAAGCATTCCAATAGCACGTAGACGTTCATCATGTTGAAGACGTCTCATTGCAAATTAAACGTAGAATACTAAAGCAAAGATACGCTAAACATTACATCTTATGCAAGAACCGATAGGAAAGCAAACATGGATAGGATATTTAACCAGCACACGGCAGTTTTTATCAATCCTTCCTTGAAGTGTCAAATTTGACAATGAACCCCTCCCACGTGTATGGCGCTATTGCGTGCCGCACGCACAGCTCAGTGGTTCTGTTTGGGCGATAAGTTCTTCATCTGTGAACATACTCTCAAAGCATGTCAAGTGTCAATGACTATTTATCATATCACAACCTGCATAGGTATTTGCATTTCAATATCCCCTACTTTTTTTTAAAGAGTATATAATGGTCATCTGCAAACTCATTGAATCTTACGAATCTTTCTCAAGTAGAACGTTTGAACCTCTAATAGTTAAATTGGTAGGCTACCAAAATTATAGGTTTGTTGTGGCCTTTTTATAAGATCGACTTATCACAGCGAGAAGTACAGGAGCCGGGAGCAAAAAGTCGAGGAGCGAGAAGTCGAGGGGCGAGAAGGCAATGCAAGAAAACAAGAAGTCGAGAAGAATGCAAGTATCACAGGTTAAACTGTTAGAATTTCCAAATTAATATGCATTATTCAACAGTTAGTATGATCAAAGGCTGTTTTATGTCGACAATTTATTTTGGCTTGCATAGACTTATTACAGCTTTAATATTGTGATGGCCGGTTTTGCCATTTCAGATTCAAACGAAAGGTTACCTCTTCGGACATTTCATCTTGTGTAGCACCCAACAATGTCGTACTTTTATCTACTGCCAAGGCATAAACATTGGAATATGGCTGTGTTTTTACAGATAGAGTGGCGTTGTCTCTTGGTTCAGCTTTCAGTTTGTCGAATTCAATTGATACCTGTAATAATTATTGAAATCATTTTGATACAATTAAGAACAAATTTAAAATTAGTAGCAATTGCAAACTACATGTAGTTGGATGATGTGGGCTTTGTAAATTTATATTTCATAATATTAAAAGCCCAATATGTCAGAAAATCGGTTAAATATAATATTTAAGATCAGACAACACCAAATACATACTCAATTATATTCTAACATAAGTTATAGCCATTTTATTGGTTTATACTGATTTCAAATTGCCACTCTATGAGTCTTACATAAAAGAGTACTCTTCCAAATAAAAAAGTAGGGGATATTCAGAAACAATACAAAACTGCGGAAATGCATTGTTGTTTTTATTAAAGGTAACCAGTGTATGTTAATAACAGGCCAATTGCCTACACATGAACAGTTCATATGGGCGGCTTATCTGACGGTCCCATTTCACTCGCAAAGAGATACACCGTAAAAAGTGAAAATGGACGCTTTTTGATTTTTGTTTTAATAATGAGTAATTGCTCCACCAATCATCAGACATTCAGCAATTCGTCGTGGCATGCTCCTAATCAACCGTTCAATCACGATTTGGGGCAATCTGACCCACTCCCCTTGCAGTGCCACGGCCAATTCTTGCAGTGTTGTTGGTTGATGTTGACGTCGACGAACACGTCTGCCGATCAAATTAAACGTATTAACACACTAAAGCAAAGATAGGCTAAACAGTAAATCGTATGCAAGAACCGATAGGAAAGCAAACATTGATAGGATAAACCAGCAAGCGGCATTTTTCATCAACCCTTCCTTGAAGTGTCAAGTTTGACAATGAACCCCTCCCACGAGTATGGCGCTATTGCGTGTCGCACATGCAGCTCAGTGGTTCTGTTGGGGCGATAAGTTCTTCATCTGTGAACATACTCTCAAAGCATGTCAAGTGTTCATGACTATTTAACATATCACAACCTGCATAGGTATTTGCATTTCAATATCCCCTACTTTTTTTAAGAATATAATTCTGATATCAATTCTGTACAAGCTAGTCCATTATTTTTTAAATACTGTTTAATCAGCAACAGATTGTAAGTAAATAGTGCGTAAACCATACCTTGTTTTTAAATATTCCTTCAACACTAAATGTTATGGCATCAGCGACAATTTCACTATTAGTAGTCTCAAAGTAAACCACTATTCGAACATTTGGAGCGAAATTTGGTAAGATTCTCAATTTAAGAATTTGTGTCTTTTCGGCTCTGTAATAACCTTTTCTATTTGTGTATTCAATTTGACCCTTTGCCATAGCCTGAAATTAGATTGTTTCTCGTACATTCATTGAAATAATGTCGAACAACTTGCGAGGCATTGTCGCCGTTTTAATCCTAGACATATATGCATCTAAATGAGCAGAAATATTGTCTCTTAGCTTCTGATTTTATAAACTTTTCAGGTAATCCCCCAGAACTCACGCCAAACTTTACGTTTGCAGGGCCGGATTAAGCTTGCAGGGTGCCATTGGCTGAAAATGTCACTCACACTGGAGCTCTTGTATCAACAGTGACAATGCTGGTCATGTCCGTCAAATCCACACAATGCTACTTGTATGTCAGTATGGTAGATATATTTCATTGACACGAAGATATACAACAGAAGAAATATAAATAATGTGCCATCTATATAAAGGTGGCTGTTAATCATTATGGTACAAGCAAATTTATAGAACTAATATGGGGGCTTCTTTAATAATGGGATCTCTGGCTGCAGCTCAGTCAGCACTAGGCCCCCTTAATCCGCTTCTGTCTCCTCCACTGCTCACATTCCTCAAATTCCTAAATATGCCCATTTTGTATATATTGGTGATTGACGGTTGGCGCTGAGTATGATTAGAATTCGATTTACTAGATTTCCACTTCACTTTCAGATTGATGTGGTTGGATAAACTGGACTAGTACGAAACTTGAATTCTTGACCCAGCTTCAACATAGTCGTTCTTGCGAAAGCGACGGGGATACAAGCAAAACGACGAGCAAATATAGAATATAAACGATCGAAGCAACGGTTCTTTGGTAAACAATTTTGGACATAAAATTTTCTCCGATCCTGTTGACGTCGACTAAGTTGAACTAAAACTAAATTGAAACTTTGCTGAGACATTCAGTGCAATTTATGAATAAATTAATTAAACACGTGCATATGTTTTTATGAATTATAAATCAATATTATTGTACAGTTACTCACAAAATAATAAATACTGGAAAACTCAATATTGGAAGATACTTCAAAATCTGCATACTCGTTGACCTAGAATAGTTTTATATAAATTGATCAGGTTTAATTAGTACATGATACCGTAAGGTTTTCAATGTGTTTAGGATTACAATCTTTAACGTTTATAATCGTACATTAATAACTTCAATAGAATGGACTGCTCATAGCAAATACACCGTATAATGTAAAATAAATTTTAAAAAAACATATTCTTTTCTGAGTATGATTTCTGAAATTTAAGCCAGGCTATAATAAACCGGGAGAGTTGTTGTATAAGAGTAATACTAGTATATATATATTACCTTTGGATTAAGAGTCAGAAGCTGAACAGAAAGAAAGGTATTACTTGGTGATCGGGTGACTTTTAATGTTCTTGACGTTTTTAACCTGGAATCTTCATTATATGTAGCCTTTAATAAACAAATTATTATACAATACTATAGAGATACCCCCAATATTCTTAATAAACAGACCATTATACAATATTATAGAGACGTCATACTATCTTCATCAAACAGGTTATTAGACAATATTATAGAGACATCAGAGTGTCTTTAAGAACTAGATTATTAGACAATATTATAGAGAGATCCCAGTATCTGTCGGGCTATTCCATGTCAAGTGGACCAGTACTTGTAGGCTTTACATAAGTTTGTATGTACTTTAACATATTTTTTTATAATTTTGTGGGGGGGTCACCCAACAGCTTTCTGAGAATTTGGTCCACTTGACATGGAATAACCCTTTAATAAACAGGTCATTATACACTATTATAGAGTAATCCAAGCACATTATTATACAATATTATATAGGAACTGAAATGCAATGCGGATTAACGTCCTACTGTTCTGCTCCGACTGGGCTAATGGAGACAGATATTATAAAGGCATCCCAGTATCTTATAACCCAGTATTCTTGTCCCGGGTAGGCTAATCATCTAAAGTTCTATGATACGCCAACATGCCAACATCCAGTGGCTCAATGGACAGAAAGACAGCTTCTTGATTAGCAATCAAAGTCATGTATATCTGCCGACAAAAGTTCCTTCATTATTAGAACCATATATCGCCAATTACACGACAAATGACAATATGTATATCTTCTGAACATTTCTAAGACACTCCCTCGTATTAATAAGTTCTATTTAAATAATTGACAATGTAACATTATAAGTGAATTGTGCAACTTACCTCTAATATAAGCTCCAGGGCTGCAGAGTTGTCCACTTTTATATCGAACTTTAGCAACCCACTTGGAGGAAGATTTAAATTTTGGGTTGGTAAATAAGTCCACGAGTATGTTGGTACTGTACAACTTGGCCGTCCATAATTCCACCATCTATAGTAACCATAGTAAGGTATGGGCGGTGGGGAGGTCAAGGGAGGTGGTGTCGTGAGTGTTTGGAAAGGTGTTGGTCCAGTCCCATTGTATATGGTTTGACTAGGTTGAGGAATGGCAGTGGTCGTGGTGGTGGTCGTGGTGGTGGTCGTGGTAGTTGTTTTTTCGTCCTCTGTTTTATATCTGGCTGTAATAGTTACATTTCCAATTTCACCAACCAGTGGTTTTCCATCTTGATCCAAAATTTCAATCTGTAATCAGGTTTATTAGCATGCAACGTTTCGGCAACGGTAGCCCTACTCTCGTCTTTACCAAGCAAATGATAACATGTTGTTGTTGTTTATTACAGACAACATATAGGTAAACCCCTAAGTATTCATATATTAGAAGGAAACCATTGTCACGCTCATTACCATCGCTTTGATCAAGTACTTGTTATATGTATATATATATGGCTTCCTTTTAGTGTATGAATACTTATGGTTTTATCTATCAATCGCTTGATAAAGACGACAGTACCACCGTCGAAATCTTTCATGTTAATAAATCAGTAATTATTATTTCATAGATAAGCTGTAGTGTGTTACTGCTCAATTACTAAATCCATTCAAAGAAGTTCTGTAATCAGGGAATTCTTGTGATTTTGAAATTTGACAAAGATATGCTTGAAAGTGTGCCACATTAAATATCCCATATCAATACAAGTTTAGGATTGATTATCAACAAACACCAATCCCAGGATATTTAAAACTGAGAATAGAAAGCAAATGTAAACTAAACTAATAACCACAAAATCATTTGAAAGCTGTATCTACTATGATACATAAGCTTTTGATTTTGATATTAGCTTAATATATATAGTACCATTAGAAGTCAAAAAGCTAATTAATATCAGATATTTTTCAATTTGTTTTCCAGATATTTTCGTCGTTTAATTCATATTTTACATTTTACTGGAATCGTTTTGACAAGTTTTATAATTATGTCGTATTCTTCAACCAATGAAAAAGAACTCTTCCAATCACGCCAATACTTCGCCCACTTGTTTATTTATGGCACAACCAAAATCAGTCGTCTGAACGACAGCAGTAATAAAATATATTAGAACATCACAACTATAAATGTTAACTGAAAAAAAGATTCCGAATCAAGGAAATATTTGAAATCCCATATCAAACACAATTTCTGTTTTGACAATGTTTTTTAAAATAATATTCTTATTAAAGTATCTTTTATTGAACCAAATGACTTACGTAATAAGAGTTTTTAACCCCTATTTTAAAGTTCTGTGGACTCATAGCAAACTTTATAACTTCTCTTGTATTTTTAAAGTCGCTCTCTGCTTCTTTAGATTTATAGACAGTGGTTGTCTCTATGTCTGTTACATTGACCTGGGCCACTAACGTCCTGTAGTATAAACTTGATGAATAGGCAATGGTCTTTAATTCATTTAAACTCACTGTAACACTAGCTTCTCCATCAATTAACTAAAACACGAAACAAAACATTATTTAACAATTCAACGGCTTTCAACAGACTAAAAAAAACGAATAAAAGCCTCCAAATAAATACAATCTAAATATACATTTAAAATATCTTCAATGATTTGTATACAGTGGGCATTGGGGTGCATAATTTATCCTAAATATTAACAATTTCCGAAATGCAAGCTTACATCAATCTGTTTTTATATTTTATATTTTACTGCAAAATTTGGTATTGTAGATACATTATTATATCTAGTTGATAGAACTAAGTTTTTTTCATTTCTTAAAGGAACTAAAATATGCACTTCTACTACACTTTATAGTTTGATATCTCCAATATAGTATTTGACTTGTTTTCGCTACTCACTGTTAAATTATACTCTAAAATGGGCTGGGTGTTTGTTGGTATTCTTACATATCGGTTTGTTACGTTGTCTTTTACGTATCTGTAAGTTATGTAAAATCTATCGACTTTTAATCGCAAAGTAGCCGATCCTTGAAGTGGTTTTCCGTGTGTGTACCTACAAAAATATATTGACTCTTTTAAAGCTAAGCAAAGAATAAGTATGGAACAATAATGAAATCAGATTCTCAAAATATATATAAAACTAAATCACAGAAAATGGAAATATGATTGAAACAGATTAAATCAAATTTTAAAAAGAAATACAAGGACATTTCAGAGTAATACAATACCCTGCATCTTAGTTTGTGTTCTGCCTAATTGGTTGCACATATATATAAAAGAAAGTGTCCAAATAGCGAGTCATGGTTTAAAAAATACAACTTACTTTCCTGATACCTTTACTTTAACACTTTGGTCTGTTATTACCATATATGACGGCAAAGTTACAGTGGCTTCAGCTCTTGGTAGTACTAAAATGTTTAATCATTCGTTGAGCACCACACATATACGATAAAACTAACCCGATGTAAATCATAGCAATGGATAGGAAAAAAACCTGCGAAGAGACTGACCTAATCCTTCCTGCACAACGCCCACCACAGTACAGTTAATATCTATTATAATGGCCCTCCAAAACAGACAAATTCTGAAATGAACGTTCACATAACTCAATTACTTACCATATCTGTCAATGCTAAAACGTGTTGATTCCGTTACACCCTAAAAATAAAAATAAAACTCTATAGATTGATTTAGAATATAAAGTATTCGAATAATTAAAATAAAAAACTTGTAGCCAAAATATACATACATTATATATTATAATGATTTTATGTAGAAAATTAATTTTATCGTATTATGTCTATTGTTCATATCATAAATAAGGGTTGATCCTTTATTACACTTCTAAGCGACTTGCTGTACGCATGAATATCGACACCATATAATGTTATGGTCACGTCTAACACTTTTCTTGGAGACATCATGGTTTAATAAATTGAAACTCTGTTTAAAAATTATGAATAGTCCGTTTAAATTAATTGTTCGTAAATCCAAAATATTTAAAAGAAATTACTTACAATAATGTGCATCTAAGTAATACCTACATGAGTTCTTACGGTAATTATCCAATCACCAAATAAGGGTTCAGAGGTCAAAGAAAATTCGCCTTCAACAACGCCATAGATGTCTCCATTACTTTCAAACTTCACAACTTTATTTTTTCTTGGATCCTAAAGATAGAAAAAATCATCTGGACATTCATATCGTTTTTAATTCATCGTATGTTATGATCATAAATGTTCCGACTAGGCTAATGGCGACGGACATAAGCCATACAAGGGAAATTATGCCTGGACAGCGGCACTACGGTCTGTTCTTATTTCGCATTCGAACTATCAGGGACTCTTTTACGTGTTTTTAGTCTCATCCGAACGACTAGACACCGTTCCTTATCGGGCCCTTTCATAGATAATACTTTTCATATTCTACAGACTTTTCTTGATTGGTTGGTAATAGAAAGAAAAACCATATAAATGCATACCTCAATTGTAACATCAAATACTTCCCTAGACGTCGTTAAATCGGGACGAACAGCAAATATTCTGTATTTAACTGTTAAAAGAAAACATGCGAATTAAAATACTCAATCTAAATTTGAAAATGATTTGATATAGACTTATTATTTGTATAACCTATCTAGATTGGAAACAAAATGACCGTAACAGTAATATGCGTTATGGATGCGTTACATATATATACTTATCAAAAAATAATTACTGAATAATATGGTATACTATAAAAATATCAGCACTCATCAAGGAACAAATTTACGGCCGTTACTGTTGATTGGACCACTTCCGGTGTTTTGTTACAAAGAAATTTTACTCAGTGCTAGATGCTTAATATACACAGGTTCCCGGAAAAAAATAGCTCTCAGAATTTACCTGTTTGACTTGGTTTGTAAACTTTCTTATCTGTCTGTATTATAATAACCATGTTGTCTTTTTTAAAGTACAAGTTAGAATATTTGTTAAAAGTTGCTCCGCCCGTTCCTTGTATTCTCAATCTATAATGGTAGCTACTAGTCGTTGATGTCAAGTTAGACGGGGGCTAAAAGTAGATAAAGCAGACCCGGTTAATATCAGTCCACAATGGATAAATTCCGTTCAGTTTTTACACATAATTGATAGACCTGTTTTAAACCCGACTAAATCCAAGCCGGGAGATTATCTAGTGTTAATATTTTGAGTTTGTTTTCTTAATTGAATGTTAAATAATCAACGTGAGTACATATTATCGTGAATGAAGACGTTAGGAATTTGATATTTTAGCGAAAAATTCAATTGACGAAATAGGGCTTTCACTGAGCCAGATTATGGTTAAATCTGGCTGTAATTCAAACATGGGTCCTTCAATCATGGGAAGTAAACAAGAAAATCTAATGACAAGCATTATAATTATATCGAATTTAATCCACATTATCATTATATCGAATTTAATCCACATTATCATTACACCTTATGCTTACGATCTTTTCCGGCGGAGAAGTCATCAAACAAGTTAATGAAGCTCCCCGAGAGCGGATCGCTTCACCGGCGTCCCATACAATTCTTTTTCATGTTTTCAAATTTGAATATGGTCCATTCTCATCTGATATATATCTAGGCAAAGCATTTTTTTTAAACACAAACACGTTTTTGGACCCTGATTTCAGTCCAGTCTGAGTCAGTCTCCCAACCCCTTAATTATCCAATGGTAGAAATCTCAATCTGAACGATGCACTATCTGTACTATGTAACACAGCCTCTAGTTAAGGTTATCCAAATTTTAAATTGTCAATAATTTCATACAGTTGGGGTTTGATTTAAATACTTAAATACAGAGATAGCTGGAATTGTTCTGCGTATGAAAAAAAATTTAGATAGTATGTCCATCCAGTGCTTGCAGAGGCTGTGATGGTCTTTTATCAATGAGGTCATAAATTACCTTCACCAAAGCTATATGTAACGGAGTGACGTTGGCTATGTGTTCGGATTCATCTCTGAAATCTATTGTCAAGTTGTAAGTTACTTATTAAAAATTACTTCCGCATTATCTTGTAAGATGGGTTTTTCTTTGTACATTAGAAATGGCGCCCGAAACCATAGAGTACACGACGTCTTGTACTAAGTTTAAAATGTTGATTTTGTCCTAAATGTTGGACATTAGGATCTCATATTTGCACGGTAAATACTGATAGAAATTTACCAATATTGAATTTCAATTCGTGTTTTTAATTTCAAATTTTAATGAAAATATTGATTGCGAGGTTTAGCTCCTTTAACGCACGAAGACAAATCGACATATACAGCCAAAAGGTTATCTTTAATGTGTACTGGCTTTAAGTTCATTCACATGAACATCAACATCTTATAAAGTATAACATCTTAGAAAATACAAAATCGGTTAGGATTAATCCAGTTGGATTTTCTATAACAAAATAGATGTTTTTATGCTTTATCTTTTTATAATATACAATATCATACTACTTACCTTAAGCATTACTCGTTTTGTTGTATCTAAAAATGATTAAAATGGTAGATAATGAAATAGACTTATACATGTATATCAATTTCTAGTGTTAGTAAAACATGCGAAAGTACATATATGTTTTGATAATCCGGATAGAATTTGGGAAAGCGCTAAAAAAATAAATAAATAAAGTACAGTGAACAAAATTGGTAAGCTTTATGAATGTGTTGTAGGGACTTTGAATTATCCGCTCTTGTCCGATGCATAAACAGATTACTCACTCAACTCATCCTCTCTTGAAGCCCATATAATACCATATCGATCCTCCAGTGTTGTTGTTATCTGAATTGGCTCTGTTCCCAGATTTTGGGCAGAAAATATATAATCCACACTCGGTCTTACAGTTTTAGGTAGTAGGAATATATAATTCCCGCCGTTACATCTATATTAAACGTACATAAGACATAACCAATTAATGAAACCAATTAATAAACGTTGGTATACGTTGCCAATCCTCGAATGATGTACCCACTTGTGAGCAAATCTCGAAACAATCTTAGAGAGTGACATTGTTCAATAAAAAATCGTTTATTTTCTTTACTGCCATTGGATTTGAAGGGGTTATAATAATATACGTTTAATGGTAAAAGCTTTATCGATACCAATGATGGCCAACCTCTGGTGCATTGGATGATTAGAAGTGGCGCCTTGCACCCCTGTGATAATAATAGAGCAAACTAGGAAATATAGGCTTTTGTTCTGCTATAAATACATTATTACAAGAAGTAGGCGGGGTACAATTAGTAAACTGTATTGCACATTTGAATTCGTGTGTGAACAAATTTGCAATCCCTGATCTATACGCTCTTTCATTTTCATAAAGTCCAGTAAACATGGTCGCTTTACATACAGATAAAGGTTATCACGATAAGCATTATTCAGACTATTGTACAACAGGACTAAAAATAGGAATTATTTCATTTGTTTCATCTTTATCTTGTAAGAAAAAACTTAAATGCTTGACCTCCAAACTCAAAGAAAATTGTGTGCGGTTTTATTATTTTAATTTGATGGGTGGAAATATCGAAAAGGAATTAAACTCACTCTGATGTACGTATCCATAATAATAGAAGAAACAAAGGAAATCTGTTAGCAGATATCATCCTAAAATGAAAATAATAAGCTTTAGACCAGAAGACGTGAATTCTTTAGCTGAAAAATCCGAAAAGAAAATCCTTTGTCTCTATTATTTAACTGGCTAAAATAAACTTTATTCTATACAGATATGGCTCACGTTTTAATAAATCGTATAAATAGACTGTGTCAGATTCGGCCACACAATCCACATTTAGGAGAAAACAATTAATATTTAGTTCACAAAGGTCTTGATCAGGAAATAATCACTCGAGTCTCGTGAACCAAGTTTTGTTATAATTTAAGAACTTGTAAATTCGAATTTAAAGGCTTTTGAGAATAGCAACCAAGTATGCTTTTACCTTTAAATTAGAGTTTTTAATGAGTGTTCCCGATGAGAAAAAAACTCAAACCTATTGTGTCCATAATATGTTACGTCTAAAAATAATCCTGTGTGGTATATTTTTTATGAACTGTTCTTCTGCCAATAGAACGTAACCCCGTGAAAATATCTAGCCATCACTTCATAGTTTTAATTGAAAATGTGCGACAAGGTAAATTGACTTTAATTATGAAATCAAAACCAAAATCTCCCGGCTGCCTGTCGTAAATCTGATTTAAATAAAAGGCTTTTCAAAACTTTATCCACCACGGTGAGCTATTTTGCTTATGTCTGTAGGGATTTCGAGCTTGTGACATTTTCAATTCATCATATTTTTGGTAAATACTGAGATGAATTGGTCCATTTTTGAAATTTTATTATCTTTGCGGAGGATGGCAAGGGATTTTAAAGATACATTATGGGAGATTCGATAACGAATTGGCAGCTCTCACTATAATAATTAAAAACTAGATAACGTAAAGGCAATTTGCTGAAAATTTCATTCAAATTGATCCACTATGAAACGAAAACTAAGCGAATGAAATTTCTGCCTAGCCTCGGTCATCATTACTAAAGTCAGTACGATAAACAGCATAGTTTCGATTATCTATTTAATCGTTTTATCGAGAAGGAAAGTTATGCAGTAAATCGGCTCACAATCCACTTAAGATCGCGGGCTAGCGATGCCATTTAGAGTTGATTATGGTCTGGATAAGTTAATTAATGTCTTATTAATAATTTAGATAACATTTCAGGCCTAAAGAAAGACCTGCAATAGACAGATTTAGCTCTTGCATAGTGTATGTTTAAATCTCTCAAATGACGATTGTAAACTGTATCATTTTCACACTTAGTTAAATAAACGCCTTCCCTTCCTTTTGCACACATGGAAAATCGTCTTTCTAAATATATAAACATGGGATTACTTACTTGGTTGGTGTCTTAAGGCTAAAATGAACAGAATACAAAATGAGTGATTTTTATAACACGGACGTTGACATTGATGTTTTTGCGTTTTACAGTTACGCATTTCAGACCTTGACAACCAGAATAGAAATATATGACATGGAAAACTGCAATGAATCGACAAATGAAATAAAACATAAATCACTCAAATCAGATGAAAGCAATCTGTCTCAACAACATTGACCAGCAGATGTGTTTCGAAACATTATGAGTACGACGTACCTGTAACCCAAGCATTTTAAAGCCTAAACATATCATCTGAAAATATATTGGTGCAAATATTATATAAATCGCTTACTTTTAATCTAAGTTATGTCCATTTTTGAACTTTACATCCGTTTCTGTTGATTTCAAGGTACCATAAGGATGCTTTATTCATTCTTCATGGGACACCCGACCTCCAGGCTAGACGCTGGCTCGCTAGCCAAGAGGTGGGGTGTTCGATCCATGCATTGGCCGAGAAAGTTCATCCAGATTTTCCGGCGTGGTTCCCCCTTGTCAGTGATGCAGGACGGAGGGCCTGACAAGGATGGGCCGAAAAACCGAGGTCCCGCGTACACATTGGCGTGCACGTTAAAGATCCTTTGGCAATTGGAATTCGATATAAGAGTAGGCCGTAGTGTCGCTGTCCGGGTAAAATTTTCCTCATAGCACACGAGTATGGCGTATGCCCGTCTTCATTAGCCCATCCGGTGCAGAACAGTAAAACGTTAAACCCCATTTCATTTCATTTTATTTCTTTTTCAAACTCGAAAATTACATAATAAAACACCCCTTACATTAACATAGCAGATATATACTTTTCTGAACCATCTGGCCCCTGGAGAGATTTCCCAAATCCTATTCTATCTGAAGCAATATATTTCTAGTTCTTTAATTTATTATAGTGTTTAAAACAAAGACACATGTTCACAGTCAACAGGCCTAACGTATAGTTTATAATTCGCTTCGTTTTTAATTAATCCTGAATATTTGAATCCGTGTCCTTTTCTACAACCGGAAATTTTCATTCTCATCAGCGAAACCGTTCCAAATGATGTTGTAATTAAAGTATAATAAGATTAAAGCATACAATCACACAAATTGAATATATTTTGAATTACTTTGTAGATCTTAGGCAATTCAATAATATGAAAGATTTTCTTTATTCTATCTATACGATTACTCTACTTTGTTTTAATAAAAAAATGCACATTTTGAATGATATTTAGTGACTTGAATATAATCAGTAAACCACTTTTTAATGGATAACACTGCGATGTTTTAACCTGGGGCCTGTTTCACGAAATTTTAACTAAGATAAAATCCAAATTTTAGTAATTTGATTGGATAATATTAAATTGATTTTAGTGCTTAACCAATCAAAATTGAAGTATCTACTAAAATTTGGATTTTACCTATAGTTAAGATTTCGAGGAACAGGGCCCAGAACAATAGTAGCATGTTTTCATGTATCAGCATGAAATACGCATACATTTAATACAAGGTTAAAAAGTTCGCAAGGGGATAAAGTAGAGTAGACGCGCTTGATTTTAATATTTTATCGAAAAGTCGTGCTTGTGTATATTAAACCAGTGATTGTTGTCCCACATAACTGTGTTAGTTTTGTTATGTGTCCAATTGCTAAATGACACTTAGGCCCATATTTACGAACAGTGTCTAAAATAATCTGTGATTAGGTCTCATCAGTAACTAGCTAATTACAGATTAGTAGTTGACTAAGTTTGGCATTCTCAAAGGTCAGATTAGCTAACCTTAGACTAGAATTTCTCTTTGTCAACGATTATGATTAAGTTTTAAAATTTGATTGTAAATCAAACATTTAAAACACTGTTTTCATAAATCCATTGAATAAAGGGACAAGTTACAGGAAGTAGATTGCAAAAACATTACATTGTGTTTGAGAACCGTGTTTCCCCACCTGGGGTTCAAAGGGATCAGTAGGATGTAAGCAGGGAGAAAAAGCGGTTCCGTGTAAAAAGACATCCAATTAAATTACAGTATGAAATATTTGGTATTGTAGAAATTTTTAGTATTGGGACAGTGAATTTCAGTGGTTGTTATCCCTCACATTTCTCACAAGCGACCCCCTTGAGTTCACAAAGTAAATAAGAGTATGACATTTTTGGTAGTGTAGACATTTTTAGCATTGGGACAGTGAATTTCAGTAGTTGTTATCCGTCACATTTCCCACAAGCGACCTACACGTAGTTGTATTCACAATGGGGAGGTGCAGAGGTATAATTGTCTTCACTACAATAGAAAATTCTCCCCGACCCGATTAACATCCGAATTTATCATTATTTGTCAATTTTGTATAAACTTGCAATATCTCTATTTAAAGGGAGCATCCCGGATTTTAACAGTCTCAGAAACAAATGTGTACGTATAAAATTTAAGCGCCAAAATATAAAGGAATCGTGTATTTATTTACCTTGTCTCAAAATTTCAGTTCGAAATATTGAGTCGTTTTGACGTCAACGTCAAAACAGCTTATCCGGATGCACAACCCTTTTAAGATTTCGATTCAATTTTTTCGTTGGTTGACCTGATAATCTATTGCCGTTCCTTTAGAGGTTTGTACCTGATAACGAAAGGTACATTTCACCTACATGTTATTTTTATAAAATAAAAGTCTGGTTTTATTCAGACACTGTATAATACTGCACCGGTCTCCGTTTCCAGATGAAGACTGGCGGGTTTAAGTTGTTTGAAAACGTATCACGTATATTGAGTTAGTTGCTCGGCCCAAAGGTAGAGCATTTTAAGGGGTTTTAACACAAAATTAAGCAGTTTTATTCTCCAAAACATAATCACAAGCAAGGAGGGCCGCGGGCTATTATTTCCCGTACATCAGAATATGACTAGTCAGAAAATCGCTTATTTCAGAATAAAAAATTTGTAACTCTTGTATTTGAAATGTATTCTTTCTATTGAAGAAGAGGTGTCATCACTGTTTTCTAATTTATATTGAGATTTATGAAGTTTTGTGTCGCTCTCGCATTGTTCATGTATTTTTAAACCATAGTTTGATTTTGAAACAAAAGCCTCAAACGGAATAGGAGCATTTCATGTTCCTGTGACACTGACAGTAAAGCACATTTTAATAATGATATGGGCGGCAAGTAAAATTCTTTCATTGTTTATAAATACATCAGTCCAATTTAGAGAAGCGGAATGCGTGTTTATAGCGTGTATATGCAGACCTACTGTATGATACAGTATACTACGGTTGATCTAAGGACATTTGAATAAGTTCATTAGGACATATAAATAAGTTCAAAATGACATTTGAATAAGTTCAAAATGACATTTGAATAAGTTCAAAATGACATTTGAATAAGTTCAAAATGACATTTGAATAAGTTCAAAATGACATTTGAATAAGTTCAAAATGACAAATACCGCAAAAGCTTTTTGCTTTCTTGGTTATTTAACTTCTGCTTCCACAAAAGTGATATCGCAGACACTTTATAATCAGTCCATGAATCCACCACTCAAAATTAATCGCCAAGGCCTTAAGGCGGGTACACACTGTCGTGTCTATGACACCATAATCAACTTGTAGCTATATTGAGTAATTTATTTACTTTAAGTCGAATATTATCAATATTTCAAGGATTGGCTTGTCGTATTGTGAAAGTAATAACTTTTTAAATATCAATATTTTCAATCAATTCAATTAAAATGTCTGTCTCGGCCCTATTTACAAACATGTAACAGATGTTTTGACATGCAAGTTGTTGATTGGAATGTCGCGTTTCATTGTTGACATGTTTTCTTTGATAACGTAGAGCTTTCAATGCTTGATTTGTTTTCTTTGGTCTTGTCAGTTAAAATGAAAAATGATTTTCAATTTAGGTTTTTATTTAAATGTGCGCGTTAGCTACATTGGTTACAAAAAATAGTGGGATTTTGGGTTGGTCTTAACAATGGCAACGTTTTTAGTTTCTACATTTTAATTTAGCTTGGCACTTAAACAAAAGTGTCTAGAAAGTTTTAAAAGTTTGATGCTAGTTGTCGATGCTATAATCTATGTTCCGTTATCCAATTTAGGGTATGAAGGAATTTAAGCAATATTTCTTGGCATAGTTTATTTTAGAAATCAGTATAGATTTCCTAAACTCACCAAAATCTACTCAAACCCGTCAATATTCCAAATCAAATTATTAATCATCACCACATTTCGTTATTTAAACGTTCCTGGTGACAATTATATTGATTATCATCACATTTCGTTATTTGAACGTTCCTGGTGAAAATTATATTGATTATCATCACATTTCGTTCGTTATTTGAACGTTCCTGGTGAAAATTATATTGATTATCATCACATTTCGTTATTTGAACGTTCCTGGTGAAAATTATATATATGCCGTTTTTTATTTAAATTTATAAAATATATGGACAAAAAAATCCGACCTCATTTTATCCTGTTAGGAATAGAACATTGTTATTTATTGTTTATCATCCAAGCTACCATTTAGGTATACACAATGTGTACACGGGGCCTCGGTTTTTTTCGACCCATCCGATGACTATACTTTGTCCCTTACCAGACCCTCCGTCCTATATCACTGTCAAGGGGGGGGGGGGCACGACGTAAAATCCTGATGGAGTTCTCTGTGAATACCGGAGTCAACGTCTTACTCACTGAGCCACTGTGGCTCCCTCTGTTAAGTACGAACAATAATATCATGCAAACGGATCCGTGAGGCAACCGACAGTCAAGCTTTACAAAATTAGATTATACTAAGTTCACAATGTATAGTTTATACTCCAAGTGTAAATTTTACGGCAAACCTAAAACTTCTCGTCGGACAGCTTTATTTCTCAAATCACAGTATCTATAGATTTTACACAAGGCAAACCGCTATTTACACTTCAGACACACTTATTGTTATCAATTCTAGTCAAATTTGTTTGTAGCTCTTCATAATATTTACTTATATTTAAACGAAAAAACTTAAAATTAATAAATAAATTTACATCTATTTTTATTATTCTTCGATGTATTAATTTTCATGAAAAATAACACAATCTGTTACGGTTGCATGTTTCTCAGTCAAACAGAATAAAAAATAACTTCAATTATTTATTGTTTAATATCGATGTAAATGAAAAAACGAGATAAGTGCGCATATTACTGATTGGAAGGGTTTAAAACCAATACAACTTACAAAATTCACCCGCCATTTTCCTTTACTAACTTCGTTGGACCGGATGCTATGTTTGATCAGGAAGTCTGTGCCTATCTCTAATAACAGATAGGGAAATGAAGGATGTATAGAAAATACGACGGGTGACATATATTCTAGATATTAGAACCGAAATTAGGTTTAAAGTTCTACTTTTCTGCACCAAAAAGACGAACGATGACGGATATACGGGCTACACATACTATAGCTATAACGCCACTGGCGGGGAACTGGACTGGCGAGCCCGTGGCCTCCACTTTAACAAAATTATGCAAGAGCTAAATCTGCCTATTGCAGGTCTTGCTTTAGGCATGAAATTTTATCTAAATTATTAATTAGACATTAATTAACTATCCAGATCATAATCAACTCTCGATGTCATCGCTAGCCTGCGATATTTACTGGATTAGAATCCAATCGGTTGCGCAGCGCTACGCCCATTCATGATTAAATCAAGAAATGGATAATCGAGACTATGTATTTTATCGTATGGACTTCAATCGCTAAATTCTCGGTTCAGGGTGGATCAATTTGACTGAAATTTTCAGCAAATACCATTTACAGTATCTAATTTTTTCAACTATTATAGCGAGAACTGCCAGCTCTTTATTTTATCTCCCATAATGTATCTTTAAAGATACTTTCCCACAAAAGTATTTATCGGGTGGTTATTTCCAATAAAAATATGGCAATTTTGATGGAAAGTAGAAACATCCAATCTTACTAGAAAAATGCTGGATTCCCTGAAAATACCCATGGAGCGCATACAGGACAAAAATGCAAGAGTTTCCCTAACGGTCAACCCTAGGGATGTATGCGCGAGTGACGTCAAAGGTTGCACGCGAAGATTGTATATGTTGATAATCTTGATGGTGAGCTTAAACATATGATCTATGCACCCAATGAAAATAAAATATAAAATGTATTTTTCTTCTGTTTATGTTTATTCAGTTACGGTTATGTATTATTAACACTCACAGAAATGATTTGAAATTTTAGGATCTTTTTTTTTTCCATTTTCTTTTTTTTTTTTTTTTTTTTTTTTTGAGTAAGTGATCTAGACTGTAAATCTGTTTTCAAAACAGCAACATTGAATATTGTTCATTGCTAATATTCGTTTAGGGTAGATCCTCTTATCAAAAAAAAAATATAAGGGTTAAATTCTTTGCTCCTTTAACGCATCAGGACAGAAAGCCAGGGGGTATAACTCCTTCACCGTTACCTTCATCCACGTCCTGTCTGGTTTGATCAAATAAACGTCCCAATTTAGCCCGAACTGCAAAAATAAAATCAAAATTTAGCAGAGCATTAGAGGTGATCGAAAAAGAAGATTAATTAAATGAAGAAATTCTTGAATGGTACCTTAAGGCACTGTGAGATACCTTTTATAAAATACGCAATAGATGAGATTCTTTCTTCAGTAAGATATGGAGCAGAAATGATTTTAAAATAGGGAAGGTTCACACAATATTTACGTATTTTACGTGCACGCCAATATGTACATGGGACCTCGATTTTTTGTCCCATCCGAACAAATATACGTTTCCCTTGACAGGCCCTAAGTCATGCACCGCTGACAAAAGTACCACGGAACCTCCAGGTAAGGGAGCCTACGTCTTCCTCACTGAGCCACCGCGATTCCCTAAACAAATATGCACCCTGGAATGTATTGTTCGTGTAATAAACTAGGTTTCTAGAACAAATGTATAATTATTTTCCAGTTAACTTCCGTAATAGTACAAACATCACTGCCAAAGTAATGTAAACTGAGTATAATTATAAATAATCAAACTGTAAACAAGCAACTACGTAGGTAAATTTTGTAGACAACTATAAACATTGTCATTTACCCACTGTCTAATGAAGACCTAAACAAACCGAAATATGTGGAAAAAACACTTCCAAACATTTAGTTGGAGAGCTTAAATTATACTGGATAACCTTAAACAATGTGAGTTGTGTGTCCAAACCTAATCAATAATAATATGTACATTAGTATTATTATTATTGTTCGATTTATATAGCGCTTCATTACACGTGAAGTGTTTCTATAAAGTAACTTCATTATAAAAGGTTTGCCATAGTTATGTTTTGGAACTAATCTGTAACATTGCAATACCAATTGATATAGTGTATCAAATTTAATTTACATCATTACAAAATTAGGAGAAACCACGCCACTTGACTCAATGAAAGTCCTTATGATTTCACGCGCAGGCGTCACAACACTGGACCTCACCCTCGTATGTGAATAAGGGGTGGGTAGATAATGCTTAAAGTAGCTAAGTCTCTAACTCAATATCATCAAAAATCTTCGACATTGAAAACACGAATTATTTGTAAATTCAAATCAACATTGGTCTTATGATCTTACAGGGAAAAGGTGGGCTTCTGTTATCCAATATTCAAGGCAAAATAAACATTTTAACATTGGTACACGAATCGTGTACTATAAGACGTTTCAGCGCCATTTGGATTAAGGGACTCAATGAACGCGGCTAGACATATCCCACAAGCCATGTAAAATGGTGACGCTATATTCTTATCTGGAGAGCATGCGCAATAAATATCATCGGTGTAGACTGGAATAACTAGACGCTAAAGATTGCCATTCAATTAACACTTCTGGCGTATTTCGCCGAACATAACTGATTAGAAATTACAGTAAAAACAGAAACGATTGAATGTAAATCAGTTTAAATACATTCATATTACATTATTATATACGTTGCGACCCATTTGTGTCAATTTCTAGGTCCCAAATATTAGCGATTTAGCTCCTTTAAAACCAATAAGGAAACGGATCATCGATCTGGTGGACTAGACACTTTCTTTGACAGTCACACTGACGAGAGATATATTTATTCAACCGTCTAGTCGGTATTGTTTCATAAATTGTCTTCCGTGGTTCTTTGTTAAGGCACAAAATCCCACCATCCCTTTGGGAGAAGCAAAAAAAGAATAGTGTCTCAAAATAATTCCTTGTCCCCTTAATTAAATGTCAATCCGTTTGAATGAACATTTATTCAGAATTTTCAATTTCGAATGTTTCAAATAATCCCTCTCGGTTAAAAGAAGTTTGATAGCTTAGTTCGGCAGTTGTCTGGCGTTTATTTCAACATGTTACAAATATTTAAGATAGGTCTTACCTCGGCCATGAATTGTCTACATGCTCCACACGATCCTTTAAAGCTGTCTTTCACTTCACTGTTGATATAATAAATGAGAAAGCATAAATATATTTGGACTGTGTCTTGTCCAACTTTAAAAAATCAATGCCAGAGATACCAGGAAAAAGTAGGATATTTGCCAACGTTAGTTTACTGATAATGCCGCATCAATTCCTACCCCTATATCGCCGCCCCACCTCCTACACCCCTCTCCACCCTTCCACGGACCACTATGGTTTATTATATTAAAGATTATTACGAACAGGTCTACTAACCATACCACCGCTAAAGCTTGGAATTTAAGATGACCTTCAGAAACAGCTTTCACCAATGCAACTCTTTCTGCACAGATACTTAAACCATAGGAGGCATTCTCTACATTGCATCCTGGAACATTCAAACACATCCTGTACCGTGTACCAATACATTTTCTATAATACATCCTAGAACATTCAAATATAAATCGTATACTATCTTGTGAGAGCCTACAGGACAGAGATTATGTCACAGGTTTTAAAACTGGTGGGGCTGTTCATCGGGATGTAGAATCCTGTCGAAATTTCTCCAGCATCGAAATTCGTTTATTATATTTTATTTTTTCGACTGCGTGCATATCTCAGTTTATGAAACACAAGTAAGTAACGCGCTGGGTTCGTATCTTCCAATTGCCAAAAATGCGTAATTTTGATCGAAATTAAAGATGGGTTCCCGCGTACAAACTGGGTGATTTAATGGTATATATGGACCAAAAACAAATTCAAACTAATTAATTTGTCATAATTATGCTTCAAATCCTTCTCAAACATTGTAATTGCGAAGGAATGCCCTGCTATTAAAATTCGATCAAACCAGGTCATGTTTACGTCACATCTTGGGAGTCAGAGGAGAATTCATTGCATACATGTTGTCTTTAATCGCTTACTATTTATTACAAATATCGAATCCTAATTAAATCCTCGGATTATCCACTACCCGCGTCTTTTTCCGTCATTTTTATCTCAGAAAGTATTGTACGTTTAACTCTTCATAAAGTTTATCAACTTGTACATGTACATCAAGCGCTCAATGTTCGCTTGTGACCTTTGACATCACGCGTGCAGAAGTTCTTAATCGTCGGGCTGTTGATTAGGGGAACCCTTACATTTTTGTCCTGTATACGCTCCATGAGTGTTTTTCGGGGAATCCAGTATTTTTCTAGTAAAATTGGATATCTCTACTTTCCATATATACCAAAATTGCAATACTTTTATTGGAAATAACCACGCGATAAATACTTTTCTGGGAACCCATCTTTAAAGACTTCGTTAGAATCAGACATGTACGTCCTAATTACTGGAACGAAATCAAAGTTATTATATCTACTTATCACGCGTGCAGAAGTTCTTAATCGTCGGGCTGTTGATTAGGGGAACCCTTACATTTTTGTCCTGTATACGCTCCATGAGTGTTTTTCGGGGAATCCAGTATTTTTCTAGTAAGATTGGATATCTCTACTTTCCATATATACCACAATTGCCATACTTTTATCGGAAATAATCACGCGATAAATACTTTTCTGGGAACCCATCTTTAAAGACTTCGTTAGAATCAGACATGTACGTCCTAATTACTGGAACGAAATCAAAGTTATTATATCTACTTATCGGAGAAAATATTACTGTTCTTATCTTGTTCTACTTTATTTTTTAAAAAAGTATTTATTGTTTGGTTCCAGTCAATTCATGCCCGACTGGTAAGCACGGGCCTATTATACTATAGTGTAGCAGCCCAAGATAATTTCAGGCAGAAAGCAAAACATTTTATATGAAATTAGATTGAAACTTTCCCAATTCCACAAGTTTAGACATTAAGGTAAAACTAATAAGTAATAGATAGGTCTAAAACCAGGAAACGGTTAGAGTAAAGTCTGTCTAAACCATCTTCAATAGAAGGCTTGATCTCGCTTTAACTACGTACATCTTATCAAGGCCTTCACGTAATACCCTGCATATTTCGGCACTAATTTGGATTGGGTACAAGCCAAACTTGCGAGTCTATCAGATTCCTCGATCGTCGCGAATACCAAGTCTCGCGCTTTCAAGCTAAAATGTCTACCTGTGATAATCGAGTTGCAAAGTTAAAGGTTCATTCAATGTCATGGGTTCCGTGGAGGTCGCGATGTCACAACCTCTGATTGGACGCTACTGCTCACGTGTCTGTAGATAACATAGCTATAAGTTCGGGAATTGTGAAGTAAACAAGCAACGGCCAGATGTTGTAAAACTCGCAGTCGTTTCTTCAGGAACATGGTCTAAACAAGCCCAGACAGGTTAATCGAAAAACAAAAATTATTATAAAATCAGGAATATTTTTTCGACATTTTTATTGCATGATTACATATTTTACCAAGCATATAAATTTGCAATAGGCTCAATTAGAAAACCTTTTATTTCAAAATCAAAAATATTCTTGGAGTGGTGTAAATTATATGTACTCTAATGCAATAAAAAAAAAAGGATAAAACTAGATAGACGGTAGCATGTAGGCTTAAACTGCCTCGTTTGTCATAGGTAGATAGAATAAATTTTATTTCGTTCCGGTAAATCAGGACGTACATTTCTTATAATTATATAAGGAAACCTTCAATTTCGACCACAAGGGCACCTTTATGGCATTCGGCAAAACGAACCAACCAGTTTTTAAACCTGTGGACGTAGTGCACGAGACGGCGCTCAGTGTTGTTAAATTTATTGGGACTGTTATTTGGGTTTTTAGAAGTACCTTCAAAAATCTGTCCATTTTCAGTCAAAACTGCACACCCAACTTTAAACTCACTGTATGGACAATATGCTTTAGCTTTTACAGAAATTGCTGCCTCTGCCAAAGCTTGAAGTTTGGAATCTATAAATATTAAAGATGTGGTGTAATTAATAGACAAATCAGATATAAATCTTTGAGAAAATGATAAGGTTGTAGGCCTATATGTTGTTCATTTAAATCTATGCATGCAGATATCTGCTTAAATTAACCACCAGAAATAAAATCTTGTGATCTCGGCATATCCATTATTAACACATGTCAGGTATCGTCTTAAGACAAAATACGTCACTTGTATTTAGCTAAATATTAAACAAAAACCACCAGCTGGGAATAGTTGTCAAATGTTTCGTATTTGTACTGCAGCTGTCTATGATGTCGATCTTGGAAGAGTTTATAACTACTTCGAGATAATCGATTGGGTAATCTCTGTACAGATAATTAAAGAGGAGATTATGGTGCCTAGTAGTGAGATACTAAATGGAATGAAAAGTTAAAAGGGATTTAATCTTACTTATCTGCATCAGCCGGGTAAATGAACTCACGCGGGCCCAGAGAGAGCGAGGGGGGGGGGAGATGTAAAGTTCACTGAACACTAATTATATAATTTAGGTACTAACATCGCGTAGCTCTATGCTTATTTACTACAATAATTAAATCCCTTGAGCGAATAGTTCTTCAATAATGGGAGAGGCATAGGAAGATGCGACGAGGCGACCTTACTCCACATCAAACACATGCCTAGAGTCGAAACCAGAGCACCTTAATAGTTGATAGATCTGGTAGTAAGAATGCTAAAATTATGAAAATATCCTTAATGGTAATCTGTGCGGCATTTGATTCAGATTCATATGTCGTATTTACGGTAATAAGTACTTAATGTTAGGACTGTATATAGACGTTTAAATCATTTTGAAAGTTCAATGCTGTGTCCAAAATACAGGGGCGTACGTATCGATTCTGTTTGTGGGTTGTTTAGCAAAAATGAGACAGACTGATGCACTTGCCCTTAATACGAGTGACGCAGCCACGGGCCGAGCACTAAGGTGCGAGCTTTAAGTGTGGGGGGGGGGTATGCTCCCCCGTAGACATTTTTGAATCTAGAGTCCATGAAATGTCATTTCCAGCATTTTGCAAAATTCTGACCGTTAGAAAACACTTATAACATGAGTAAAATTGAGTACTGGGTATGAGAATTAATGCTATTTATTAATTTTGGCAATGCCTGTTTACCTTATTAATTCATTTAGTCGCCGATGCATTATTTTAAACCAACTGCACTTTCTATAGTTTGCATGTAGAAAAGGTAACATGTAATTAACGTAAACGCAGCATTATTTACTACTTACTCTTGCTAACTTAAAAGTTATTTTGAGAGTAGTAGATATGACTTGTAGCGTGAATCGAGAGATAATTTCAAGTCGGAAACTTGTAAATACCACCTCAATCGAACGCAGTATGAGTTTATCGTCGTTTCAATTACGTATATTCCCACAAATCACATTAATATTATGTTAATAAAGGGAATGTTATAATGTTAAAAATCTGCGCGGTTACATACCTAATTCACTGAAAGGCTTGCCTACATCCATTACAGCTTCACTAATAAAGAATTAAAGTGGTTTGGACCGCGAATCGTATTTTAGAAATAAAGAATTTAAGTAGGGTATTATTCTGTGTCTTTACGACCTCTGAGTATTGTTCAGCAGTAGTCCTAACAACTAGTCAAATTTTAATCCTTGAACTGTCTTAACTGTACAAGTCTGGATGAACAAACATATGTAAAGTTAATGTGAAAGGCCTGGCGAACACTCGGTCAAACTAACACGATAAACCTTTGTCGTATTAAAGCTAGACTCCTGTAACAAAACTGAATTGAAATTTAAGTACCGATGGGTGCTATAATGGTTTCGTCCATTAATAACATATGCAATGAAACGAAATGGGGTTTAACGTAATTTCAAGTAAAAGGAGTGGAAATTTAGCATTGGGAAAGGATTTTTGTCAAGGGAGGAACGCCAAACTGATTGAGAATTATAAGAATACCCAAGCAACATACTTGACAAAACTGTGGGAAAAGGTGTCCCAGGAGTTATTAAATTGTTGTGGTTACATAATGTTGGGAGTCTGGTTGCCTTAAGCCATATTATCAGGAATTCATTGGATGTATGTTATAGTATCAAACAACAAAACATCACACAATACCACAGGTCAACTCCATTAAGTTAACAAAGTAATCGAACGGTCTAGACGTCATCGATAGCTAATCATATTAAATGTAAACATAAAAGCCTGTAATATTCAGTTGTTTAGCTTCTGGACAAGGAAAGATGGATGAACTAAAACAATTATGGAATAGGTTTGGTTTATTGGTTCTACTTATATCAATTAATTAATTTTAAAATTTAAGGACTACTTTTTCAATAAAATAGCTCATATTCTTTTCCAATCACTGTCTATCACGGATTTTTGTTGTTGACTCGACTTCATCTTGGTTTAAAGTTACAATTTCATATTTTCTAAGAAAGTCAAAGCATAATTATTTCTATGTCTTTTGCTCAATAGATTTTCAACTCACTATTATACGATCATAGGTTATCTTTCTCACACTTAAAAATCTTCACACCGGAAATAATAACACAGTTACCTCCCTTGTTTTCCTATTCCCCACCATGGAATGGCTATCTTCAAACGTTTGAATTTGAAGTTGAAAATGATATTTTTGCCAATTTCTCAACTGGCAATAGTGAATTATAGGATTAATAGGATTATTCTTTAACAATGTAGGACTGTTTATAGATACCATCTATTTTAGGCCTTTATTTTAATACATTTTAAAAATATAACTTAAAAATATGAAATTGTAACTTTAAGGAGATTTCTATGTGGGGCGCGTTCAATAATGCGCAGATATCGTATGTTCGACCCCAGATCAACCGACTAATCAAAATCCATGGGATAAAAATTCAGTGAAATCTTTTGAAAGGCTTTAATTAACGAGACCTTATATTATTATACTGTCGCTAAAATCCCAGAACGCACCTTTGTTAAACATGTCTTTAAACTTTAAATGGGGGTGGAGAGCCGAATAAACGAACCGAAAAGTGTATTATTTTTGATAAGGCATATTAAAAAAAACAATTAGGAAATTCACAAAGAGTATATTTTGTTGTTAAGGTATGTTGTTAAGTAATATTGGCAGCTGGCAGTACAAATACAAAACACTCGATTACAAAAACTTAACCCCCTTAGGACAACCTTGCTCAGCTGGTAGCTTTTATTTGATATTTAACTAAATAAAAGTGACGTATTTTGTCTATAGTCGTTGCTCATTGGCGTGTTTTACCATCTCTACTCGGTTTGTTGAACATTACTTCTGTCTTCTGGTTATTGATCAATTGAGTAATCTTTGATTTGTGCTAGATTAATAGGTTTTCAGAATCGACTATTTGAAAGCTTGGCTTTAAACAGCTAACTAATATATCTGTATTAAAAGATATGCCGAAATTACAAGATTTGATTTCTGGTGGCCATATTATGCTGACGTCTGCGCATGTATAGATTTGTATCGCTATGAGTTTCAATGAAATAACCGTGTCCGTATCTGGATCCGTAAAAGGATTTATATTGAGATAAATCAAGTTCATTGACATTCATTTTGAAAACCTGTGTAATTTATCGAGGAGATATAGACATTGTGGACTATCGATATTTGCAATCCATCACCCAGCAATACTGGTTGTTTGCAAGCCAATCGCACGGAAGCTCTTTCCCTTCCTTCTTTATACAGACCACACTTCAGCAACTGCTTTACGGGGAACAAAAGTTAAAACTCAATTATGATGGTTTTTCCCTTTTATATGCAGGCCAATGTCAACATTTATGCTATTTAAAAGCGCCAACCTCGTAACGATCGCGAAAACTAGTCGTGTACTTGACAACTAATGAAATGGAATGGGGGTTATAATAATAATAACTTTATTTCAAAAGAGTAGAAAATTAGGCCTGGTGCCTTTCTTACATTTTGTCCTTTTAACAACATCAAGCATGCATAGTTAACTTCCTACTTGTCCTCACCGACTTGGCTAATGGAGATGGACATGTTCCATACTGCGCGGACAGCAGTGATACGGCCTACTCTTATTTCGAATTCCAACTGTCAGTGATTATTTTACACGCAAGTACACGTACATCGGACCCCGATTTGTGCGTCCCATACGACGCACCACTGACACTTCACGTACCTGAATATCAGCGAAGAAATTAATAAGAGAAAAGATATTAGTGTATGTGAAGTATGGATATGGCAAATAATCACAACTCATATTTATCGTTTCACGGTTAAACACAATTTTTGTATAATTGTTAAAATCGGGAAAACATTTTTACATGGGGTAATAATTTGTGAGCAATCAAGTTGTGTGGTTTCCGGGCTTATATTAGATCCAAAGACAGCGTAATCACTCAATTATCGTCTGGTTCTGCCCACCGAGATTCTTTTCTTTTGGCCTGTTCATAACAATGAATGACATTTCATCGATCGTAAGGCAAACGACACAACAATCTTCCAGCTTATTAGATTTGATTCATTGTGTAAGATCTTGGTGTATAAAAATTGCAAGCTCTCACAAGACCCATAAAACACATTTCATACACAACGGCGTAACCATTGATTTGCTATAAATAAAATGAGATGGGGGTAGTCGGGTTTGGACGATTTGGGGTCGAATTTTGGCATATTTTCGAAAGGGTTGTAACAACCGCCTAGGGATTCCCTGTAACATAATTTTGACAATAGCTTGATGCCTCTATGCACATGCTTCATTCGACATGTTTTCTTGACTATAAAAATGAATTCGTGATCAGTTAATGCAATAAAAAAACGATATTTTATCGAACTATCCCACCCTGTAAGATTGTTTACTGATTTCGCCACAAGTCGTCCTGGTCACTTGAGGTTTACCTAGTTCCAAAATTAAAAAGACCTTCATACTTTCTAGGTTAACCCTTCGGTCGACATGATTACTAAATTTAGATACAAGCAGGTCCGAAATCATTTGAATTTATTGAAAAATGTCAATTGCCATTGAAAATAGCTATTACATTATATGAATGTATAGTGTAAAATTTTTGTCGAATTAATGCGTTTCATGGCCTAGGTTCCTTTAGTAAATTCTGAAAAGTTTGACAAGAATTTAAAAACCTTTCTATCAGATCAGTATCTGGTTGATTATACATTCGGTTGAGTGTTGCCCAGATACCAATCGTATGTCTGGTTTACATTGAATATATCAATATTTGTGTTATAAATCTACCACATCTTTTATAAGCATCTTATTTCACATATTACACTTATTGTACACGCGATCTTTTCACGCTATCAATTATTGGTTTTGTATATCAACGAGCTCTCCTTTGAACAATAAATAATCATAGGGAAAAACGTTTGTATACTAATATGTGTGAATTAATTTTTTTATTTGGTTGTTTGTTGTTTTCTCTCGGTTTTTATTTTCTTTGCTAAATTATACTTTCTGCATTACGTGAAATTTAATCTCCTAATCGTTAAATTGAATAAAAATGAAATGGGGTTTAACGTCCTATTTTTCTACGCCGATTTGGATAATGAAGATGGGCATACGACATGCAGAGTGCTATGAGGGGAATTTTCCCGATGAGCTGCGCTACTAATTCCAACTGTCCTTTAAAGTGCATGCCAACGTTTATACAAGACTTCGGTCTTTCGAACGATCACAACGACTAGACACTATCCCTGCCAAGGAGAAATCGCCCTGGGAATTTGCGAGAAACCTTTCTCGAAAAATACAGGGATCGAACCGAACCCCGGACCAGTTAGTGAGCCAGTGCCTGATCCATAGAGTCACCGCGACTCACAAATTAAATAGAACATCCCACTTCACCACCATTTTATGTCCCTGGAACCATTTAAGTATATCTTCAGAATCATGCTAGTTTATTCTTTCCTCGCGGGTACAATTCACATTGTGTGTATTGCTTGTTGTCTCGTAAACCTGGCGATAAAAACAAACTCTTTGGTGGACGTGGAGCAAATGACGAAGCTGTACTTATGTACAGCAGATACCCTCGTAAAGTATAGAACAACTGGTGTCTAGGTGACTGGTGGTATATACTACTGCTCATCCTAAAGTATGTTTTCGATACTGCGGAATGCTATTTAGTCAAAAAACAAAAGCGGTTCATATTCAACCACCAAACCGCTCAGGAGTTTAGGAATACTTTGCTTTATGCTACGATATGTATTACATCTCTCTAGATCAAATGTAGGACAGTTTTACTTTCACTTCGAGAATATACAATTGAACAAACTAAGTAATTTGATAGTAAATTAACAAATCTAAAGTATTATAACCATCCTAGCCTAGTACGTCAACGGTATCTGCTGATGTACCTATTGTGCTGATCAACGTAGTCAAAGATTCATTCTTTAGCAGTCGCCTCAAATTTTCTTCCAGACTCTGGCATATAGTAGAACCGACCGTTAATTAATACCTATGCCTTTGCATTTTTGTAAGATTTATTTATCTGCTCTAATAAAAGGGACACCATTAAAATTATATTTGATATAACATTTATCAGTATAACTATAAAATATATTTAATTGTTTTTTGGGTTTTTGGGGGGGTGGGGTATTGTTTTTGCGGGGGGGGGGGGGTATGCAATTTAACAAAATGTTAGTTCAATAGGCCGAAATTATGACTACCTACACCTCTGTGGGGTTGGCACATGTGTACCACTGCAAGGTTATCATCAAGATTGGCCATGCATGAATGTGATTTATACAACTTTACATCTAGAACTGAACCTCGCGATGAGCCAGCAATCGACTTGAAATGAAACTTGTGGAATTTCAAAGTCGATTGCTTATCCATGCCATATTGGTAATTTTACCAATTAAACATGTCTTAACTGGGGTCTAGATCTTCATTTCAGTGTTCTTGTCAATGGCTTTCCATCAACGGTTTTGACATCTGCATTTCGTGTGAGTTTCTGATGAAGCCTACTTGTCTGGGGCTTAAGGAATGACAAAATAGTATTAGGAAATAATTATTTATAGCACCAAAAACTTATTACTCGAACACCTGATGCAACTTCTTGTCTGACGAGTTCGCATAGCCAATTCTTTGCATTTAGACCATTGGGCTAGTGACTCTGCTGGAGACCTATGACTCCTAAGGTATCTTAAACCTGATGGAGTTTGGCTTATGAAATTCATGTCCAAACATCGCTGCATTTCACACAGTTCACATTTGTATGCAAATCAAACGTGACAATGTTCAGACATGGCATATTTAGGCTTTCTGAAAGTTTCAAGGTGGCCTAAATAAAGACTTTTAGCAAGCTTAAATTCCTGGTCCGAATCGCGTATCCGTATCGATTTTGCGTGTAACGTCATCAATGCGTATGTATTTCTCATACGTGATACGGCACACGGATAAGGCAGCACGTACCGAACAGCTTTCATACGGAAAGGGTCCGGATAACATCGTCGTCTTTTTACCGTTTTTTTTTCTTTTGCTACTTTTAGACGCTGAAATGTTGTGCCGTAGCGTTTATGTGAATCTATGTATATTCTACAACACGAATGTGTATATTTGATTTTAACCATGGTATAAAGGCTGGAATTTAATCATTAGTTTTGATGAGCTCTTCGGTGAATTTACATATTTTTCCCGTCTGTCTGTCTGTGTGCTGGTTGATCTACGTGCTAAATTTAGCCAGGTGGGACCTTGCAAATCTGTAAAAGGGGTATATACTTTCTGAAACGATACATTAGTGAATCCAAAAATTGCTGTCGAGTCGAAGTCGAAGATTTTTAATAAAATTCGACACTAAATGGTTTTTTTAAATTTTAAATAGCTCAGCGACTGTCGAGCGACTTTACTCCTTTCAGGAATTGTAGGCTAGTCACTAACTGCCATCATGCTGTAATAGAACTAAGCTCAGCTCAGCTAGCTATACGTACACGGCGCGAAAATTCTGCCAAAACTCTAAAAACTACGTAACTTTCAGGGCGCACCCTCCAATGTTTCATTGAGTGACCTGATAAACTAAAATATTCTACGATAAAAACGCAAGAAAAAACAACAAAATGGTTCAACGCGTGTGCCTTAGATCATAGGGTCTGTCATTGAGTCAAGTAGCGTGATTTCGATTCCCCGCATGTACGTGAAAAGGAGAGTAGGCTCGCCTGTACGTCCAACCTCGTGTGTTTTCTCCGGTCCCCCGGTTTCCTCCCACAGCTAAAGACCTAGAATGAAGTTGACCATGTTAGTCCCGAAATGGTGTAGTTTGTGTCTAGTGAACGTTAAACGTTAAACCCCATTTCTCTCTCTCGATTACTAATCAAGAAGCTCGTGTCCAAAACCCACCCTAAAGCAGAGTTTCAGATAGTTGCTTGGGACAAGAATAAATATTTGCAAGAGCCTTCCACGCAGCTAGTTTTATTCACTGTAATATATCTGAAATATATCTGGGATTTCTCCATTAACTTTTCACATGGATGAACAAATAACAACACTTGGCTGTGTATGTAATTATTCTAGATCTAATTTACTACACGTATCTATAGAGATTACATTAAATATTGTAACATATGGTAGTAATTATCATATGAATGTTATTATTGTAAAATATAAACGTATATAATCAATTTTATTACCTGATAACTTTTATAATAATTGAATATTTTAGTGAAAGGGGTTGGGAAGCCGCGGTGACTCAATGAGTAAGACATTGGTTCGCTAATCTGGAGGTCCCGTGTTAGATCCCCGCGTTGGCCTAGAAACTTCATCGTGATTTTACAGCGTGGTTACCCCTTGTCATTGGTGCAGGACGGAAGGCCTGGCAAAGGACAACGTATAGTAAGTAGTTCGGATGTGACGATAAACCGAGGTCCCGTGTACACATTGTCGTGTACGTAAAAAAACCCTTAACAGTTTGAATTCGAAATAAAAGTAGGCCGTAGCGCCGCACTATATGACGTATGCCCGTCCAAATTAGCCCAGTCTGTAACAAAAAGTAGGACGTTAACCGCCATTTCATTTCTTTTCTCTTGGGGTTGAGACCGTTGTACTCGTTTTAGTTAGGACGCTAGAAACTCCTACTGCCCAGACAAAAACGGGTGATCTTTTCAAGTCCGGGTTAATGCCTGTGAGATTTCTAAAGCCATGTGAATATTCGAAACGATGTCACATGTACGTTTTTGCTCGGTACATTAACGGCTAAAATATGTTTTCTTATAATTTTATCTTAAAACATTGGACCGTTTGGAAACTAACGACAATTTTCTCATATAAGATACATGAGTTGTTATCATCGCATTAACCATTGCCATACTTCACATTCTCCAAAAAATGTATCTGATCTGTAATGGGGAAACCGGAGGGATTAGGGGGCGACCATAATCCCTACCAGAACAAACGTGGGACCAAACCAATGGCAGGTTTCTTAAAAATCATTTCAATCTACAATCCACACAGCTCCCAAAGAAAGCTGTTCAAATGATTTAGAATGTGTTTTACATGCTAGTTTCTGGTGTGTAAGAAAATTGCCAGACGTGTGTAAAACATTCATTTTATTGTTCAATATTCTACATTTCAAGTACGCCTGAAACATCTAATTTTCTTTTAAAATAAACAGAAACATGGAACATCAATGCCATGCTTTTATAACCCAGATAGATAATTATATTAATAGTCATCTATATTAGAAGAAGTATTTACTTCCTACCATATGGTCAGATGAATGAATCATGTGTACTTAACCATCTTGTAACTTGCACGTATATATAGAACTTATAAGTTATAGCCTAAGCCTGAATTGGATGAAAAGGAGGAGTGATACAACACAGCACAATTTATATGAAATACAATCACTTATTTGTTACACATAGTCTTGTGCTCGAGAACGATGAGAGCACTTGTCGAAACATCGTACTACATTATGGCAACGGTTTTATTCCATATAATATACGTCGTACATTGTTTTATATATTGTGCTCAGTCGCTATAAATGCGACTCCAGAATTGTAGGTAAGTATGATGGTATTCCCCTATGTCATTATACTTGTACATAACCCTTGGAGGATGTCTGACTTGAAATGATATAAACCAATTTAGTACGATAAAATAACAAACTAATTAAAATTAGATTACAATTTCGTTTCAGGGTTTTTACAATTAATTTTAGTACAACCGAATAAAACAAAACGTAACAAACATCTGATTTAAATCATACTGGAACGAAGATTAGCCTCCCTATATATAAATGCATATACGTCACGTGTGATTGACAGGTTGTAATTTACCTTTATTTGATAAAATAGCTGTAACACCGCTGGCATAAAGTTCTAATGCGTTTTATTTGATGTTTCGTATGTGTGCTTAACATTAAGCTAAAAATATTCATGAATGATTGTTTGTTCAAGTACATTAGATTGACGTTTAGCATCTCACTCCATCCACCACTGTATTGAGTTAATCGGTAAAAGGTCTGGTTATTCGATACGAAACTAAAAGCACAATATTCAACAAGTACCGTGGTTGGCAATGGACCAACAGGCGATTCCGCTTGCTGACAAACCGTGCCTGATTACTTAGAGAGAGAAGCAGGACTGGCCGTGAATAGTTTTTCTATATTCAGGAGTCAGGGAGACTGGTTTTATATAAGAGAGATATATACAATGATATTGCTTCGTTAAAAGCGTCTGGAATTGATGGCTTCGAGCAGACGACAGCAAATAACAACACTATTCATAGACTAGCCGACACGTTGTAAGTTTCCAGACAGTTATAAAGAACTGTCGTGATATGTAGCACAGGATTACTATAGGTGAAGACAGCGTTGTGGATTATTGATATAAGTGTTCAATAGATTATACATTACGAGTTGTAAGTAGCCTATTTTTAATCTATGGTTATCATTATGTATGTAAATATGTTCCCATGCAAGAAGTTCTAAAACTATTCAAAGGCGTTTTGATGCTATCAAATCGAATCCCATCTGAAGTTTCAAATTACATCACACCCTGAAAGTAACAAAATGCAAAATATTTTGACCTGGGTTTTTTTCTGAATACATACCCACATCAACCATTCTGTAACTTTGCGAACCATTATCGTAACATATTACAAATTTAGTCTGTGTTCGTTATTTTGTGGGCGAAGATTCGGTGTAGCGGCGAATGCAAAACACACTTGTGTGTTTGAAAATATACACTTCTGAGAAGAACATTGTTATACCTACTAATATGTACATTCCTGAACTCTTGGGGGGTCATAATATAGTTTCTATGAAATTTCATCTGAAAGCGGGAAATTGTGGCAGGGGGAGGGGGGGCTTCGTCCTTTGATTTGACTATACATTTAGGTTGGGCTGGTCCGAAAGAGATTTTGGCAGGATATTAGTCAAATCATACTAACTATTTAGTACTTACTCTGAGTTGATCTATTGGGTTTTCGATACTTAGATGAGTCTATAGTTATGATTAAGTTTACTTTCTTCGTGAGGGTGATATTTGTTAAAACTCCTCTGATAGGTTCAAATTTCTGATTTTTTGCATTTGTCCATATATATATATATACTTATAGTGATAGAGTATATTGAATAAAAGAGGGTAGTTTGCATAAGTAGGAGATAGGAAAGGTCCCAATGTAGCCTACAGTGATCATTGGTTCACAAGTTAGTAAAAAAGTCAAAAATAAAACAAACAAAAGCCAACAAAATAAAACAAAATGTTGTAAAGATAAGAGAAAGACACAACGTGACATATATACCCAGTTTAGACAAGAAATCATAGCTATATATAAATCAGTCTAATCTAGGCCATAAATCATAACATGCTTTAGGTGTGTTGATCATCGTGACTGAAAGTCCACCAGTTAACATATCTTTTCGCTGTGTAAACTACGTGTAGGATATAGCGTGGATATTTTGATATAGATCATTTCATTTTAGATGTATGAATGTTCGGGTAAGTGCATGTTGAGGAATGCAGTATGTAATCTTTAGATAAAGAGCTGGTCGTCCTCGCTATAGTAGTTTTAAAAGATACTGCAAAATGAATATATTAAAATTGTCAGTCGAATTACGTTATTCTGAGCAATGTTATGAATGTTTTTGACAATAAATAGCGTAGTCTCGAGTGTCATGTATCATTGCTACGATACTAAATGAAGTCTCGATATCACTTTAACGTTCAACGAAGCTAGGGCAGACATTGTCTAAATGGCTTAAGTTTTGATGATCACCCCCTTACAAGATTAAAACGTTATGGTCATTTGTATGTGATGCAAAGCGTAGTTTTCATTGGAATTTTGGAAATGTTTTGTATTGTTGACATATTACCACCAGCACCTAAAGAACGGAAATTACATAGCAGAACATCATCATGTGCATGTGAAAGTGAAGGTTCGTTTGCCTTTGGATCGACTTTGGTTGTTAATGATACTGACACACGGTTATAAATATAAATATATTATTCTATTATATTTTGGTTTAAAAGTGTATCGTGTTGTCGGGAGTCAAATTCTGGAAATTTTCACGCAACCCCAAAACACAGGAAACCGTGCTTCGCCAATAAAACCTTAAAATAGGCCCTGGCCAGCACATACTTCAAACAGAACAATTAGACATTCGTGTAGCAGACGGACAAGGATTAATTAGATTGTTAGTTTGCCCGTAAGCGCGCAAACAGTTGTACACTGTTAAAATGGGTGTAAATAAAAACTATACGCAGTGTTAATTATGGGTAAATTTTACACCACAGCTAGCTTTTTAAAATTGTAACACTTTTGCAAAGGTAACCGACTGAAAGAGCTACACCCTTGACTATTCATGACTACTGAACACCGACATAGGTGTAATTGTGGGATTTTTGGATAAGCTACACCACTACCAGTGTTATACTGCATTTACACCAAAGTTTGTAACTATAAATGGGGAATATATCCTACAAAATGTTAATTTTACACCATTTATTGGGTTTCAAAAGTGTAATCGATATTCATGAGTACTGAACACGAGGATGGGTGTAATTTTAGCCGCTAAAATGTGTTTGGGATGAGCTACACCTCTACAAAAGTTTTATTGCATTTACACCAACAGGTGTAATTATTATTAGGGAAACATTCCTCCGAATAAGGTGTCAGTTATACACCGTTACCAAAGTGTTTGTATACTCCAATTTGAGTGTTATTTTGTAAAATATGGCGTTAATTGCATTAGTAACACAGGTATAACTAATTTTAGAGTGTTTACTCGTAACGAATATAAGTCTTCAAGAATATTATCATTTATTTCATCGAGAAGCAAGAAAACGTTTATATTTTCACTCATGCTACGCATTCGTGAAAATATAAATTTTCTTGCTTCTCGATGAAATAAAATATGTTATTCACTCTAAAACGACAATAAATATCCTCTATGTATAATAATTTTTCATAACGTCTCAAGTATAGATTATGTTAGTTTGTTTAAACTTAAAGACGTGTAAATGTTCTAAAATATTACCAAGTACTATGTCTTAATTAATTATTCTTTATTCAGATGAGGTGCATAAATGAATAAACCACATTATTCAGCTAAGTTGTAAGCATATGTGTATTGATTTTTCCTCGTGATTTATATTCATTTTAAACTGAAACATATTGTCTAATTGCCCAACAGCAGTTGAGTTTGAATCGGTCTGATGGATATTTGTCAATTTAATGTTGTTGTAAAATGAAGCGAAATAGCCTACGGTCTATATGTAATCTAGGTTAAGGCTAAACCGCCCTTTACTAATTATCATAGAGATCTGTAGTCAATTCCAAGTTTTCGGAACTTAGAAGTCGCTGGCTTGAAATAAATATCCAACCTTACAATGTTATACAACAGTATTTTTAATAAAACAAATTACACCTGCTTTGGTGTAATAATTAAAATGGAATTGTAATTTACAATACATCCTTGTTTTACATTACACTGCCTGAGTGCACACTCATCCGAATGTAGTGTATCAGGCAGGTTACACTACTGGAAGTGGCAACTACTTTCCACCTGAATTGGTGTAATGTTCTCCACTAGTTGGGTGTTTTCAATTTACACCACTAAAGGTTAGGAGTTACCCCTTTTTAGGTGGCAACGTGTTTCCACCCTAATTTGGTGTAAACTACCTTATTATTTTTAACCGTGTAGGATAATTGACTTAGAGTAATAAAACTCGGTGAGCGGGTTTTGCGGCAAATGTCCTGACAGCAAAACGTATTGGTTTCGAAAATGAATTACCCACTTACTACCGTTTCTAATTATCATATGATTAGTTGTTCAGGAAACTATATTTGTTTTCCATGTGATAATTTACTTCTGTATACTCTATACTAGATGAAGAAATACAATAGACAATATATTTAATAAACAACAGATACAATAGATATAATAACCTAATATACGATAGTGTAATACTAGACATAATCGCATTGCTAACAAATGGAATCCTTAATTGAATGTATATGATCAGATTACCATGCGTTGTTAATAAATAACAACCTGATACGTTATAACCCATGATGGCAAATTAACAATACTATCAAATCTGAAGGTATAAAATCAAAATCAGATACGAACAACTGGGCGATTTTCCTACTCCTAGCCAGACCCTTCTACAACATAAAATTTTCCCACAACTAAACCGACTTTGAGAAATAATGCAGGGATACACCCAACACAGTACGCACAATCGGTATACATTTCAAGGAGGAAATGATATGTATACATATAGAAAAAGAAGATTATTTAATGAAACCACTTAAGGGTTATCCAGTCTCAAATCTTAATGGAAAAAAACCATTCTGAGTTAACCCTGCCAACCACATGATATTCGTGTAATAAATTCAAACAAGTCGGATATTACCATAATTTATTGGTAATTGCTGATTGAGCCTCGAATGGAAGATTCATGGTCGATCAATTGCATTATTGATTTATTCAATTTATTTTAGACTTAGTATGCAATTTGTGTTATATTTTGGTTATTCACCCCATTTAAAAGATTCAAATAATTACACCCATCCCCACACCAACGCGTGCGAGCCCTGTAAGTTTACGATTATTTGAAGTGGTTCACGTTCAGATAAATATTTCATTTGTCAATTGAAATTATTTAAATTTTAAATACACAGAGCGGGTTAATATTGATGAATCGTATAATTATAAATATACAGCAGATGTTTGTAAGAACTCTTTTTTTGTAAAAGAAAGGGGTTGGGTGTATACACACCCATACAACCCCCTAACTCCGCTACTATGATACATTTTCACAGGTCTGACTATACGTGTTCATATTAGGTTTCCGTATCCATATAAAATAATATATACTTCGCCAAAATAGAAATGCGAGTACTTTGACTGCGGTACGTGTTTTATAGTTGGTAGCGTATAGTGATATATGTCAGTATATTATTGGAAACGCGAGAATGCGCTTTAATGCCAGTAGCTGCACAGGGTGGACATATTTTGTAATATTACTTGCAATAGTATGCTTAATATATAACCGGATATTATCTGATTTCAATATAAATTTGCGTTTCTTTTTTTGTTAATGTATATTTGATATTGATTCGGCCCAAACAGATTGTACCGACAACGTATACATTAATATTACAGTGGAGAAGGATTCCAAATTTAAATTGGTAACGATTTTACAGAAGGGCTATTCACTCTTACAACGTTCTAAGAAATTAGCTTTATTTTTGTTGAGCCTGCTCGGTTAGTATTGATTATTATGGATAAATATAGAGGATAAAATATCAAAGAGTCGGTGATAAGTCCAAATAACAACCATATAGACGAATAATATTGAAGTAGCTAAGTCTCTAACTCAAAATCATCCAAAGTCTTCGACATTGAAAACACAAGTTATTTGTCAATTTAAATCAACACTGATGTTGTGATCTTACCGGGAAAGGATGGGCTTCTGATATCCAATATGTAAGACAAAATAAACATTTTACCATTGGTACACGAATCGTGTACCATAATGCGTTTCAGTCCCTTTTGTAACAAGGGATTCGAAGAACGAGGCAAGATATTTTTCACAAGTCATGTCAAACGGTGACGCATATTCTTATCTGGAGAGCATCCGCAATAAATTCTATCGGTTTAATATACATTAATATTATATTATTATATGCGTTGCGACCCATTTGTGTCAATTTTGGTCCCAAATATTAGCGATTTAGCTCCTTTAAGTTATTTTTATACATATTTATATGCTTTTTTTTATCAATAAAATAGGTTTGATATCAACATCACCTGTTCGTCATGCGCGTTAGATCAGAAGGTCTGTCGTTGAATCATGTTGCGTGGTTTCAATCTCAAGCTTGTACGTGGCAATGATATGCGGTAGCATGTCCAATCTCTCGATACTTCAGTTTCCTTCCACTGCTAAAGATCCCTACGCGATAGCAAATCATTGAAATATAACTGAACCATACATTAAACCCACCCCCTCTCTCTCTCTCTCTCTCTCTCTCTCTCTCTCTCTCTCTCTCTCAGAAGTGAGCAAGTGGGTTGCGAACTAAAATAAATGGTCCAGCAATCAATTTATGTCCTTGGTCGAGACTTGGGATATTGGTATTCAACCTACTGTAATTAGATTTTCCGGAAATTTTAAGCAGTTGGGTCACTGGGCTATTATAAACCGTCGTATCCATGACGTAGTAATAATGTTGCTCTACTTGATGTTTTATTAATTGGAGAGGATAACGTTGCTTTTTGTTTTAGTGCTTCAGAAATGGTGATATAATTGTGAGGTGATGTTCCAGTTACTTCGGCTGTAATTTTGATTTGTCGTGTAAAGTTAGCATTAAATATGGCGCCTACTGTGGCTATAGAAACGGTTATTATTGTCAGACCTTTAAAGGTAAGCAGAGTTTTTATTTTCATTCTTATAAGCTGACTATAAAACAAAAGTCTCGAATGATACAAAATGAAATAAAAATGGGTTTAAATACACCATACAGTGTGCTATGATAGAAATTTTGCCTGGCTAGCGGTACTACAGTCTACTCATATATCGAATTCCAACTTCCAAGGGTTCTTTTACGTGCACGTCAATGTGTACATAGGACTTCGGTTTTTCGCCCCATCCGAACCACTATTATACGTTGTCCCTTGTCAGGCCCTCTGTTCGGCCCCACTGACATTTTCGGTCAACACCGGGGTCGAATAGGGAACGTTTTTTGCCCCACCCCATCTAAAACACACTTGAGATAATTAATTCTAGAAACTATTTGTAAATAAATCTACTTGTAAATAAGTAGACCACTGATAGAACATGTCAATAAATTAAATTATAAAAATATGATTACAGAAAAGCTTTAAGCGAATGAAACCTGCGCTGGCAATAGTAAAACTTTAATAAATTTGGGTGTATTGGTATTTATTTAGTTCTCTAAATGCCACATTCCATTCATACCCCATTCACACCCCATTCACACCCCCACACCCACCCCTATACACACAACATTAACACATAATTATTACAGCAGTGCGGTTCCCACCAACTTATATGTAATACATCACTGCCAAAAACTTATATCCATAATGTACTGCTTGTTTAGTAATTGTTATATGATGATGTTTTTTTTAAAAGTCTTATGTAATTCCGCCATTTGATTTGCCACTGAGTTTGGAATTAGGCTAGCGTCAGATAAGTCCAAAATTGCTGTCTGTTTCCTGACTTGTCATGCCAGCATACCAGCAATTGATTTACAGATATCGTCTCTCTTGATAAATTGAAGTTAAAATCATATTCGTGATTAGAAGAAGTTTATTATATGTAAACAATGGATAATCTTTTGGTAGATTTGATGTAGTCATATATTAAATATGATATATTAATCATTGATTGTATGGACAGTCTGATTCAGTTTGAATATGTGAGATTTACTCACGCTATAAGTCCAGCCATTATCTTAATTACTACTCTTATGTCACAGTCTTTAACAGTAAATGTCACAGGTATTCACCCAGCAACTGTCAGGCTGTTGGGTAACCTTGACCTCATTGAAATGAGTCTAAAAGCACATATCAGTGTAATATGAATGTATATAAAGTGATTTATTTTCAAAATCTATGCCAATTCGTGTTAAGCCCCTTTAACTGGTTCGAGCCCCGAACAATTTGTGAAAAACCTGCAAGTGCCCCTTTCTTGACCAATTTCCAGCTGTAATAAGGTTATCAGTCAACATAATATGCTGATCAAAGTTCACCAGACTGCATTATATACCCCCCCCCCCCCTACATCTAAAGATATATAATCATCAGTCTTGGGAGATTCATTGGGTTCCCATGGGGCCATTAATGTCAGCTGCATTTGAGCTTAATTTAACTGTGTACGGAGAGTCAAACCAATCCGTAATTTGAATGTAAGAAGAGTTAGATATTGTTATAGAGACATACGTATATGATGTTTGTATAAAGATACGTATCGAGATATAAAGATAATGAATCCAAGACATGTTTATTATACCTTCGTGTATGATAATAATATAATAAAGTAAAAAATACATGCTTGGTATGATACGCATTTGTGAAATCTGATAATTATATTGTTCATTATGATCTATACTGTATGTATGTATATCATGTGTTTCTAATAACATACCGGTAAAAACCTGTAATTATATTATGTACATATATGTATGTAGCAAACCTTATATACATCCTACATCCACGAACACGTATATTGCTGCGACGTCAGGACCCTTGAAATGCCCCAGTCCCTTGCTCCAATCAACTTGCCCATCCGTACACTATAAGACACCCCCCCCCCTCCCTCCCCGTCAAGGTTAGACGTCTTATCAATTTCAAACACTTTATTCTCCGCCTGGGAATGAAGGGGATGGGGGGGGGGGGCGAAGCAAAATAGAAGGGAGCAGCACCCACTTCACTGGTACCAGGACACAGAAGTACAAGAATAATTGTAGCTAATTGGACTTAAATCTGTCCTTATATCTGTTCAGACAAATGGATTTAGATATCCAAATCAAAATATACAGGGGTATACCACTTCTAACTAGTTCATAGATTGATTATCCAGACATCACTGCAAATGTCAGCTTGGAAAATTGTCTCTGACCCACATGATTAAAATCGATAGATACATTGGAATAAGATAACATTGTTTTGAGTCTGTACAAATCAATCAATCAGTTTTATTTAAGGACATGTATCTGGGACAGCTTTCGTGAACGGCACGTGCCGTCTTTGATAATTCGTGCCCGTTTGAAAGAATAAACGCAATTATTAAAGTGTATTCAATAATTCCATCAGCGGGAAAATTTAATATTAAAGAATTTGAAATTAATATCCATCAAAGAATTTGTCATACTGCCATGGCATTGGCGGTTTGACACATAACCTAGGGGTTCTTAGCATTGAGGAAAAATTGTCTTTGATCGTCATTTGATAGATTTTTAATCCTTGTCAAAGAACAATATTGTGAAAGTTGAATCTTTGAAAGGAAAAACATTCTAAAAGTATTTCAGTATTGGGCAGTGATTATAAAGACAATGATAAATAAAAAGTTTCGCAACATTCGGAATCCTCCTGCAGAAGATATAAAAGAGATTTGGCCAAAACGGATGTAAACGAAAACGAAACTTTCTATTTTGATCAAAAGTCTTATTTGGATTAAAAGTAATGCAAATTTGGTTGCGTCCGCTGTCTGGTGTTTGGAACCCGGTAATAGTAACCAGAATAAAGTAATTTAACTGAACTAATTTAAAATATTCATTTTTCATCATCCATTTTTGAACTATTATAGTAATCTCGCATAAGGCCTCTTTAATTAAGCCGACCAGTGTTGGTCTAAAAATATATTTAATGACTACCGTCATCAATGTAGACCTTGGTATCCATCGTCCAAGAACTGTCAATGAGTCGAACTTTGTAGGAAAATTAGCAACACTTGATGGAGATGGGTTAAAGAGATGAATAGATGATGTTATTTTCTCATGTGATTTCCATTTACCCATATTCAGATGACATTAGTTGAATACCAACCAGCTGCTTAGTACAAGGACCCATCATGCGTGAGTTGCAGGAATATAAAAGTGCTCAATAGTGCCTGTCGTTGGAGAGATTGTAATGCTAAAAATGGTAATCTGCATTTCCTTGCGACCTCGGGCTCTAATTCCCCAGCTGAGTTCAATCATTTCATTTTCCTACTATTCAATAAAATACGGTCACATCGGGGTCAATTTGATCTAGATAGTTAATGTTTGATTGATTATCGATCAATCCAGACACACAACATGCTTAACAGCAAGTTCAATATTTAAACAGAATTTATGTAAAAACTCTTCTGTTTCTATTGCTTTGGGGTATTGAAATATTGCTTCAGCTTGCAGTCTATCTAGGTAAAATATTGAACTTGTCGACAAATAACATAGGATAACTGTAGTTATCAATAACCTTGTTTCGTTATGTCCACAATAGTTGTGTATAGGATTGACATAAATCCATGACAAAATCCATTTGATTTTGCTATACTGTAACCTACTTCTTTCACTCGTATATATTCATTAAAACATGCGATGTGTTAAAGAGCAAACTAATAATGTATACGGGAATGGAAAAGTAAAGGTGGTTGACTTTTCACAAGGTGATGTTTTTTGTTCGGGTGTGTGTGTGGTGGTGGGGGATCTATATCTACATTCATATTATTAATGTAGTCGCAGTCGTTATATTTTTTTTTATAAACATATTTTATTCACTATAAATGAATGGAAAATTGGGGAACAGGCAAAATGCCTATGTCAGACCCCTACCGCCATTCATATAAGTCTAAGAATATGCAACAATTCTTTATTGCAATGCCATTGGAACAGGCTAGCGAATAGAAGACTTTAGCTGCGGATCAACCCAGGAACAGAAGCAAATCGCAAGCGAATGTACAAAAAAAAAATCATATTCTATTTAGATTTTTATTTGTAGGTTTGAAGGTACCAAGGTCGGGTTGTCATACATGTGTCCCTCTGTCAATCTAGGAAACACATCTTAAAATGCGGTGCTTTCATAACACACGTATTAGTGTACTTTCTCTATGAATAGGGTATAAATTTTATTACTGGAAAATTATGTAAATGGCATTCGGTGTCCTAATGTATATGTATGAAATATTAAATCATAAATAAATGTTATTATTTGATGTCCACAGATATAACAACAGAACGCAAATTTCAAACATATAATTCTCAATACTTAAAGATGGGTTCCTGCGTACAAACTGGGTGATTTAATGGTATATATGGATCAAAAACATATTCAAACTAATTAATCTGCCATAATTATGCTTCAAATCCTTCTCAAACATTGTAATTGCGAAGGAATGCCCTGCTATTAAAATTTCGATCAAAACAGGTCATGTTTACGTCACGTCTTGGGAGTCAGAGGAGAATTCATTGCATACATAAGACGATGTTGTCTTTAATCGCTTACTATTTATTACAAATATCGAATCCTAATTAAATTCTCGGATTATCCACAACCCGCGTCTCTTTTCGTCATTTTTATCTCAGAAAGTATTGTACGTCTAAGTCTTCATAAAGTTTATCAACTTGTACATCAAGCGCCCAATGTTCGCTTGTGAACTTTGACATCACGCGTGCAGAAGTTCCTAATCGTCGGGCTGTTGATTAGGGGAACCCTTACATTTTTGTCCTGTATACGCTCCATGAATATTTTTCGGGGAATTCAGTATTTTTTTAGTAAGATTGGATATCTCTACTTTCCATATATACCAAAATTGCCATACTTTTATTGGAAATAACCACCCGATAAATACTTTTCTGGGAACCCATCTTTAAATATATCAGATTAGTCGGTGTGCCAGAAGAGCGACGGTTTAAAGATTAT